TCCTTATCCCTGCCAATATTTTGTTAAACTTTTAAATACTTGCCAATCTGTTAGGTGTGTAATGGTGTCTTGTTTTCATTTTTATTCTCCAAATATTAATGGAATTATGCCTCTTTTTATATGTTTATGGGTCATTTGCCTTTCTTCCTTTGTGAGTTCCTGATTCATATCCTTTGTCCAGCCTCCTTTGGGGATTTTTAACTTTTTTTCCCCAGGCTGTACCATGTGGATTGTGGAAGGTCTCTGTTCCCTGACCAGGGATCAAACCTGGACCCTCAACAGTGAGAGCATGAAGTCCTAACCCCTGGACTGCCAGGGAATTCCCTAACTTTTCCTTATTGATGTGTAGAAATTCTTTATAGTCTATATATTAGCCCTATAATTAATACGTATTAAGTAATCCATATTAATACGTGTGTACATTTGTGTATGTGTATACATGTACGTGTGTGTGTATATATGTGTGTCATTAAAAAAACTGGACTACCTCTGGAGCATAAGATACTGAATGGGAGTTCTGCTGAATCCCAGACTTCAGGTAGAGTGAACCTGCCACTAAATTATCTGGACTATCTGGAGAAGCAAGAGAAGTCCCAGTCGTGGTCATGCCAGTTCCCTCTGGAACAAAAAAGGGCTATGTGAGTCAAAGTGGAAAAAACCAGCTTCACATAGAATCAGGAATCTAGCCTGCTAGGGAAGAGTCCCTCCCAGCAGGAAGTTCGCAAACAGCACTTCTGCTCCCAGGATTTCCTTGGGCCTGACTCTGGCCGTCTCTGGGAGATACAGGAGTAACAGAGACCCAACCTTCTCTCCCCCCAGGAGCAATGACTTCACCAAGACAGAAGTTTAGGTCCTCATGTGTAAACTTTGGAGGAAGGCGATTGCCAGGGTTCTGTTCCAGGACTTAAGGAACTAGGTTCCTTCTAGCTTATTTCTCCATTACTTCCTGAGCAGGTCCTGGTGTGTATAGCTAGCCTGGGCCAGTTTTCCCTTAGTCTTAGGACTAGAGTCCCTCACCATATCCCTTGGATCACTGATTCTTTTTAACTGTGGAGCCACTTTGAGGGTCATGGTAAGAGTGTAGGCCAGGCTCAGAGAGGGTAATCTGCCCAAAGCAAAGTCTTTCCAGTGCCACATTTATGCTGCTTTATAAATATTACTTACACTGTCTCTACCTTCTGCATAGCTGGTGCTGATTTGCTCTTTAGAAGTCTCACTGTGGATGTGGTTCAGAGAAGGGCTTGGGTGGGGGGCATGGTGGTGGTGGAGGGAGGCTGTGGTGGGCAGTCAGGCCACATCACAGTGTCTATATGTGTGTGTGAGAGCATGTGCACACGTGTTCAGGCAGCCAGCCTACATCACTGTGTGTGTGTGTATGTGTGCAGGCGTGAGCTCAGTCCCTCAATCGTGTCAGACTCTTTGCGACCCCATGGATTATAGTCTGCAAGGCTCCTCTGTCCATGGGATTTCCCAGGGAAGAATACTGGAGTGGTTTGCCATTTCACCCTCCAGGGGATCTTCTGGACCCAGGGATTGAATCTGTGTCTCCTGCATTGGTAGGCAAATTCTTTACAACTGCACCACCTGGGAAGCCCTTGATATCACAGAACTGTGATCTAAATGATAGGGAAGCCAGGTGGAGAGCTACAGACAGACTCAAGAGAGATTAAGAGGTGGGTGGTAGGAAGGAATCACAGATGACATCTATGGTCCCTGGGTGGGTACTGAAGTCATGTATTTAATTATGGAGCCCTTGAACACATTTGGAAGGGGGAGATAATAAATACAGCCTTTGATAACTGCCAAGTAGAGGATGGACAAACGGCTCTAAAGATCAAGATAGAAAGTGAAATAAGAGTTTTTTGTGTAAGTAATCTGTACTAGTCATTTATCATTTGTTTATGTATTGGCCATGTGGCCCAGTGGGACTGAACCCATGCCCCCTGCGCTGGAGACAGTCTTAACCATCGGACTGCCAGGGAGGTCCCTTTAACTCAAACCCACATTCTATTAATACTCTTGTAAGTGGGTATTTGTAGATACCGGTATTCTTGCCTGGGAAATTCCATGGACAGAGGAGCCTGGCAGGCTACAGTCCATGGGGTTGCAAAGAATTGGACACAGCTGAGTGGCTAACACTTTCACATAGATACCAGACATTCCACTGAAAGCAGAAGCCATCCACCTTAGGGATGTATTTCACAAGGAATAACAGATTAATTAAAGAAAATAACATTTGAGCATCTGAGTGTGGAGTAAGTGAATCTGTTACTGTTATGCATGGCTTACACTTGCACCTCAGCATGTGGGTAATTTCACACCTTTTGAAAGAATTCAAGTTGGACTACTTGCCATCCAGCCAGGATTGGGAAGGTACAGGTTAGGGTGTGAAAGGAATGCAATGCATGTCACACAGAAATGAGTGAGATCTGTCTAATTCATCAATACTAAATTTCAGCACTAAAGAGTCACAGTTCACATCATTCACTTTTTTTCCCCTCCCCCAAGTATTTCTCCTTTGGTTTCCTGCTCTGATGACTTGAATCCTGGACTCATTTAATCTCCTTAGTAGTTTTCACCATAGGCTTTATGTCAACCTTACTGCTACCATTGTCTTTCTTCTCATGATGATTCTATTGTTACCCTGATTTGCTCCATATTTCCTGTTTTCTTGACTCTCTTGGCTTCTGCTGCCAATTTCCACAGCCCCAATAGGACACACTTTTCGTTTCAGTACTTAAAGACACTGCTTCACCTCATTTTCCCTTTACAGAACACTCCTTCAGCATCCCTGCCTACACACAATCGGAAGTGGTTATACCAATGCTCAGGTCATCAGCCTCTGACACCTATGTTTTATTTAGATCTTCCTGACCTCATGGGATCTGTCTTGATTTTCAACTATGGATTCAGTGCCATTCTGTGGTTATTTTTATGTTCCATTATTTTGATATTGAATATAGTTCCCTGTGCTATATACAGTAGGACATTGTTGTTTACCTGTTTTATACATAGTACTGCATATCTGCTAATCCCAAACTCCTTATTTATCCCTCTCCCACTCTCTCCCCTTTGGTAACTATAGTACTGCATATCTGCTAATCCCAAACTCCTTATTTATCCCTCTCCCACTCTCTCCCCTTTGGTAACTATAAGTTTTCTATATCAATGAGTCTGCTTTGTAAATAAGTTCATTTGTATCCTATTTTAGATTCCACATAAGTGATTTTGTGTTTTTCTGACCTACTTCACCTAGGATGATGATCTCTAGTTCTATCCATGTTGCCGCCAATGGAATTACTTCATTCTTTTTTATGGCTGAGTAGTATTTCATTGTATATATGTAACACATCTTCTTTATCCATCCATTCAATGGACATTTAGGTTGCTTCCATGGCTTGGCTGCTGTAAACAGTGCTGCTGTGAACACTGGGGTACATGTGTCTTTTTGAATTAGGGTTTTTCTCTTGATATATGCCTAGGAGTGGGATTGCTGGATTATATTTTTAGCTTTTTAAGGAAACTCCATACTGTTCTTCATAGTGTGTACTCAGTTACATCTGACTCTTTGTGACCCCCTGGACTGTAGCCCACCAGGCTCCTCTACCCCTGGAATTTTCCAGGCAGGAATTCTTGAGTGGGTTGCCATTTCCTCCTCCAGGGGGTTTTCCCAATTCAGGAAAATCTGCCCATGACTTCTACATTGGCAGGTGGATCTTTACCACTGAGCCACCTGGGAAGCCCAGGCTCCATAGTGGCTGCACCAATTTACATTCCCATCAACAGTGCAGAAGGGTTCCCTTCACCCCACATCATCTCCAACATTTGTTATTTGTAGTCTTTAAAATTTTTTATTTATTTTTGATTATGCTGGGTCTTCGTCGCTGCACACAGGCTTTCTCTAGTAGCAGTGTGTGGGCTTCTCATTGTGGTGGCTTCTCTTGTTGCAGACCATAGGCTCTAGGCATGCAGGTGCTTCAGTATTTGTGGCACTCGGGCTCAGCAGTTGTAGTCCGTGGGCTTGAGAGCACAGGCTCAATAGTTGTGGTGCATGGGATTAGTTGCTTTGAGGCATTTACCAGACCCATGTCTCCTGTATTGGCAGGTGGATTCTTACTCACTGTGCCCCAGGGAAGACCCATTTGTGGACTTTTTGATGACAGCCATTCTGACTGGTGTGAGGTGATACCTCATTGTAGCTTTAACTTGCATCTCTGTAATAATTAGCAATGTTGAGCATCTTTTCACACATGCCTTTTGGACTTTTGTCTTATTTAGAGAAATGTCTATTTAGGTCTTCTGCCCGTTTATCGATTGGGTTATTTTTCTGTTACTGAGTTGTATGAGCTATTTGTATATTTTGGAAATTAAGCCAAATTTGTGGCTTGTCAGTCACATTATTTGCAAATATTTTCTCCTAGTCTATAGGTTGTCTTTTCATTTTATTTATTGTTTGTTGTGCAAAAGCTTATGTTTCTTATTTGCTGTGCAAAAGTTTGTTAAGTTTGATTAGGCCCCATCTGTTTATTTTTGCTTTCATTTCTATTGACTTGGGGGACTGGCCTAAGGAAAAAGTGGTACGATTTATGTCAGAGAATAACTTGTCTAGACACTCTTCTAGTTTTATGATGTCAAGTCTTATATTTGCCTTTAAGCCATTTTGAATTTATTTTTGTATATGATATGAGGGTGTGTTCTAACTTCACTGATGTACACATGACTGTCCAACTTTCCGAGTACCACTTGAAGATTGTTTTCTGCTTTGTATATTCTTGCCTCTTGTTGAAGTTTGATCATAGGTGTAGGTTTATTTCTGGGCTCTTTATTCTGTCCCATTGATCCATATGTGTTTTTTGTGCCAGTATTACACTGTTTTGATTACTCTAGCTTTGTAGTATTGTCAGAAGTCTGGGAGGGTTACACCTCTAGCTTTGTTCTTTTTCCTCAGGACTGCTTTGGCAATTCTGGGTCTTTTGTGGTTCCATATAGACTTTGGAATTATTTTTTCTAGTTCTGTGAAAAATTTTAATGAGTGATTTGATAGGGATTATATTGAATTCTGCCTGCATTTATAAATGGCATTCCCCAGAGAAAACTACCAGGAAAAAAAAAAGGCAGGATTTCATTCTTTAAATGGATAATCAATTCAATGCAACTAATAAAGGATTTCCCATATGTTTATATCAAAATTAGACATACAAAAGGTACCAATAAAAAAAAAGAAAGAAAGAAAAAAAAAGGTACCAATAGATTTCAACATTTTTACAGATCATTTGTTATAACAGTTTTTGAAACTCTGTATTTTTAAAAGAAATATTATTTAATTGTATACATACATCATGTTTGCTTTAGGTACAATCTGCTGTATAGTTGTGACTTTTCTGTTTTATTAATGTCTTCACTGTGTCTGCTTCACCTGCCTTAATCTGGCATATTTGCATTATGCTCCAAGTAGAAATGTGCAACGTATCTTCGAAAATCCCCAAGGTCTAGAGAGGCACCTGGGTTACAGGCTCTGTGCAGCTGCCATGCATTGCTCATGGCTATGTCAATCATATAGCTCACCAAAACTGAGTACCACTTCTTGCTTCTTATTCTCACCCTGTATTTGGAAGTGATCTGTTCCATTTTAGCTACACCTTCCCTGCATTCATCATACAGTTTCACTATGGATGGTTGACTTATCTGAGGGATCTCCTTGTCACTGGCAAAACAGTGAATCTCATCAACTGGCTCTATGCCAACAGCATTGGAACACAGACTGATAATACCATCACCATGCCAACGACACAAAATGATCTCATCATTTTCTTCTACTCGGAAATCACAGTACCCCTTCTTCATTGTTTTCATATGTTCTGCACTCATAAGGGGGCATTTTTCAGTCCTGCTCTCACGAATTGTCCCTGTTGCCCTCACCCCTTTCTTCTTCAAGGCTGATACCAATGTGACACTTGTAAAGAAGCCATCGAAGCACAGATGATATGGATACTGACCCCTTGCTAAAAGAACATCAGCAAAATTCATCACGAGGTTTCCACCGAAACCAAGATCAGGATCCTTACCTGCCATCAGAGTTGCTTCTTCTTGATGAGGCTCAAACCAAACCAGATAACCCTCTGTGGTAGCACCACACCAGATTTTATAGCCAATTCTAATAGATTTACCATTCAGAAATTGGTCACTGTCAAAGCACTCACACATTGTCTTATCAAAACAGTAGTATTCTTCGAGGGGAGCATATAGGAGAAAATTTTTATTCATTTGCTTTATGAGAGGCCTCAATTTTGTGAACTTATCATTCTGATCTAGATGGCTATTATCTGCAAAATGCAGGTATGAGAAAATCAACTCAAATCTATCCCTTCTGATTGCATCTCTAACCAGGTTCTGGTCAGCATCAGACGTTCCCCAGTACATTCCCCTTCTGGGACGCTGCACGAGTCCACTCAAAAGCAGGATACCAAATACACACCTCACTTCCTGAACTGTGACTTCCAAGTTGACATTTTTCTGAGAAGCATAATTATTGGTTTCACTGACAATCAGGTTGAATGTTTCATCATCAAAAAATAACTCAAAGAACTCTACTGGGTTCAACTTTTCACTCTTGAGATTTAAAAGTCCAGAATCCAGTGCTGACCAGCATGGAAAGTTGGGTTTAATATCTCTTTTGGTCCAGTTCTTCTCTGGGACACCTGACCCCTTTAGCCTTTTTGGAGCAGGCTGGGTCTCAGGCCCGTTATCCTCTTCCACATCTGAATCACCAGAAAATGCAAGGCCTTGGAGCAGTTCACTCACTCGAGCTTTGTCTTTCTTCCTCCCTTTTCGGGTAATGTCTCCTGCAGCATATTCTAGGGAGGAGATGTGCATCCGAGCCCACAAGTCACCCGGATGACGGTCCTTGAGAGTGTTCAAATGCACAAGTGTCCTTTCAGCAGGAACAGGGGTACCACAAGGAGCCTGGGGTACACAGTCTCTGAGAAAGAAAAAACATAGGCTGTAAAAATTCTCAGTCTCATTCACTGATAACAGGATAAATCCACTGACACCTAAAGATTCTTCTGTGGGGAATACTTCTCACTCCCTGTGTTTCTGTGGGGAGGGCTCTGGCGTTTCTGGTCTCCCCTCTTCCAACTCACTCCTCATGACTTAACTGTTGAATCTGTGAGAAGGAACTGGGCTGTCCTCTTTATGAGCAGGTTGCAGACATTCCATGTTCCTTCCCCCAGTCAAGATGGATCAGGAAGGCCTATGCAGAAAGGGTCTGCAGTCACTATGCATCCATTTCTCTCTGCCTTTGAGCAGCTTTACTGGTCTAGCTTCTGCCAGTCATAAAGCTGAGGTTTGTAGAACTATCTGTTTTACTCCTATGTCTCTATTAATTGGTTCTGAATTTGGACAAAGAAATGGGTGGTTATTTACTGAGCCCCCTCATCTCTAACAGACTTTCTGAACAAAGAAGGATTTAGCCTCTTCTAGTTCTGCATTCATCTGGTGGATACAATGTTTTGGGGAGAAACAAAAGAGAAACTCAGACTGATTGCCCTTAAACTGATTTTTATGGGTTTCCCAAAGAATTATGCTAAAGTTACTAAGATGAAAACTATTGTTTCATACAAACTCCTTAAATTCTAGAAATCTGCATTTTATTTACTAATGTCCTGTCGGTAAATGGTCTAATTTAAGAAGACATAAGGGAAAAAAAAAAAAGAAGACATAAGGGAGAAAAAAACAGTGAAAAAAGTATGGTGTAATATAATTTCCAGTACATATATTTATCTGCTTAGAGCATTTATGCTGTCGTGTCTGACTCTCAGTGACCCCATGGACTGTAGCCCACCGACTCCTCTGTCCACTGGATTCTCCAGGCAAGAATACTGGGAGTGGGTTGCCATGCCCTACTCTAGGGGATCTTCCTGACCCAGGGATCAAACCCAAGTCTCCTGGGTCTCCTGCACTGCAGGCATATTCTTTACCCACTGAGCCATCTAGGAAGCCCAGTGTAATTTACAGTACATGTATTTATCTGCTTAGAGCATTTATCATCCTGAATGTCTTTAATATCTGTGTGTATGATCCATTCAACACATCCATCTTAAAAGTTCCCTGACATCCTCAACTTCAGGGATCCTCCTTGAATTCTGTCACTTCACTACACTGAAGTTTCTATTGCTGAAAACTCCAAAAGCTCACTCTCTGTTCCCAATTTCTTTTCACTCTAGCCTCCTCATACTGTTGTCCCATGGTATTGGTTCTTCCCTCTCACTCTGACTCTTCCATTCCCTCCTCATTTTACCTCCCTTGCTCTTACATCTAGACTTCACGATCCATTGCCTTAGTCCCTCTTGCCAGGATCATCAGTCACCCTGCCCCAGTGTCTGCAGTGCTGGACCAGCAAAATTCAGCACCAGATCAACCTCCTCCTTGGTCTTCTCTATTCCTCATCCAGGAGTGAATAGTGCCAGAGAAATCACACAAGGTAGACTGATACAGCTAATAATGATGGTCTCTGAAGTTCTGCTACTCAATACTGCCCAGAAACCCTTCTCATGTCCTCTTGTCCCTTTCTTCCCAGTTTCCCACGAGTGTTCCATCACTCTTCTCATATCTTCTTTGTACTCAGTTCTTGGTATCTCCAAACATGATTTTTTTTTTCTACTCCAAAGAGGACCCAGAATTTTTCAGGCAGAAAGTTGCTCTTCAAAATGATCTGTGACTCTTCTCTTCCAGCTTTTAGCCTCTCTAGGCGTTTGCATTTTCTTTCTCTGTTTCTCTTTGATTTGCCTCCTCTTTATTTGATAAATGCCGGCTTACTCATCAGGTTTTGTTTTAAATGTTACCTCTTCTGGGATACCCTCTCCAGTATCCAGATCTCAGTTGGGTTCTCTGCTGCAAGATCTATCATAGATAGCTACAGGGCACGAATCATACTGCATTGTGCTCTGTGTTCACTTATCTGCTGTATCCTTACATGACTTACTGAAGGTAGGGTCTCTGTATTATATGTGATTCTGAATATGAGTGATAATATGTTTACTGAATGAGTGAGGATGTTGGGGGTCACTCAATCTCTGATATCATGATGGAGTCTCAAACCTAGAACAGCCTACCCCTTCAGACTTCTTGTCACATCAAACAGTAAGATATCTTGATTCTCAGAGGCACTGTGAGTCATGGTTTCTGTTATCTGATGTAAACATACCTGACAGACACATGAGCAGATTTGTATTCTCTAATTATAATCCTGAGCTAAGTCACAGTGTTACTTCTCTTCACTTAGTACAGCTTGGCTCAGACTTCACCAGCTTTATGAAAGATTTCACTTCTCAAGCTTTAAGACATTTCTCTTTTAACTGAGACTGTGGTCCCTGTTTCCCTAAGATGAACAAATGTCAAGAAGAATTCTCATCCCGTGCCCTGCTCTTCAATATAATTATCCCAAGCTGTTTCCTTTTTCTTCTTTACTCAGGTCTCCAAGGACTTGGTGGTCTCACCAGAAGCCCACCTTCTGCTCATGATCTGGTCTCTCTCTGCTTTAGGAGCACCTATGCTACACACTCATTCATTCCACAACCAGCACTCGTGTGTGTACTATTTTTTTAAATTGATATTGGAGTATGGTTGAGTTACAACATTGTGTTAGTTTCTGCTGTGCAGCAAAGTGAATCAGTTATACACACATCCACTGTTTTTGGGTTTAATATTCCCTTCCCATGTAGGTCACTACAGAGCACTGACTAGAGTGCTCTGTAATAGCACTGTGCTATTACAGTAGGTTCTCATTAGCTGTCTATCTTATGTACAGTAGTGTATACATGTCAATTCCAATTCCCAATTCAACCCACCCCTCACTTCCCCCATTCCTAACTGTAAGTTTGTTTTTTACATCTGTGACTCTATTTCTGCTTTGCAAATAAGTTCATCCATTTTTCTAGATTCCACACATAAGTGATATTATATAATATGTCTTGTTGGCTTACTTCACTGTGTATGACAGTCTCTAGGTCTCTGCAGATGGCATTATTTCATCCCTTTTTGTGGCTAACATTGTATATATGTATGACATCTTTATACATTCCACTGTTGATGGACATTTGGGTGGCTTCCAAGACCTGGCTGTTGTAAATAGCGCTGCAGTGATCACTGGGGTGCATGTATCTTTTTGAATTATGGTTTTCTCAGGTATATGCCTGGGAATGGAATTGCAGGGTCGTATGGCAATTCTAGTTTTTTGAGGAACATCCATACTGTTCTCCATAGTGGCTGTACCATTTACATCCCCACTAACAGTGTAGGAGGGTTGCCTTTTCTCCGCATTCTCTCCAGTATTTGTTGTTTGTAGATTTTTTGATGATGGCCATTCTGACTACTGTGAGTTGATGCCTCACTGTAGTTTTGATTTGCATCTCTCTAATACTTAGTGATACTGAGCATCTTTTCGTGTTTTTGGCCACCTGTGTGTCCTCTGTGGAGGAATATCTATTTAGATCTTTTGCCCATTTTTTCATTGTTTTGTTTAAAACTTTTTTAAAAAATTTTATATTGGGGAATAGCCAATTAACAATGCTGTGACAGTTCCAGGTGGACAGCAAAGGGACTCAGCCATACATATATGTGTATCCATTCTCCCCCAGACTCCCCTCCCATCCAGGCTGCCACATACGATTGAGCAGAGTTCCATGTGCTATATAGTAAGCCCTTGTTGGTTATGTTCTAAATATAGCAGTGTGTACATGTCCATTCCAAACTCCCTAACTATCCACTGAGTTTTTTTTGTTTTCAATATTGAACTGCATGAGCTGTTTGCATATTTTGGAGATTAATCCCTTCTCAGTTGCTTTATTTGCAAATATTTTCTCCCTTCCTGAGGGTTGTCTAACTGTAGGTTTGCTGTATAATGGCCTTTTATTATGTTGAGGTAGATTCCCTCTAAAACTACTTTCTTGAGTTTTAATCATAAATTGGTGTTGAATTTTGTCTAAAGTTTTTTTCTGCATCTATAGAAATGATATGGTTTTTATTCTTCAATTTGTTAATGTGGTGTATCACATTGATTGATTTGCATATATTGAAGAATCCATGTTGCATCCCTGGGATAAATCCAACTTGATTAAGGTATATGATCCTTTTAATATGTTGTTGGATTCAGTTTGCTAGTATTTTATTGAGGATTTTTGCACCTATGTTCATGTGATATTGGCCTGTAATTTTCTTTTCTCTGTGTGTGTGTGATATCTTTGTCTGGTTTGGGTGTCAGAGTGATGGTAGCCTTGTAGAATGAGCTTGGGAGTGTTCCTCTGCAATTTTCTGGAAGAGTTTCAGAAGGGTGGGTGTTAACTCTTTTCTAAATGTTTGACAGAATTCACCTGTGAGGCCATCTGGTTCAGGCATTTGTTTGTAGGAATTTTTTTCCCACTTTGGGGCCGTTTTATCTTTTCTAAAAAGTACTTTTTTGTTTAATTTTTGGCTGTACTGGGTCTTCACTGCTGCACAGGCTTCTCTCCAGTTGCCGCGAGCAGGGGTTACTCTTGGTTGTGGTGCACAGGCTTCTCACTGTGGTGGCTTCTGTTGCTGAGCACAGGCTCTAGGACACACAGGCTTCAGTAGTTGTGGCATGTGGGCTCTGCAGTCGTGGCTCCTGGGTTCTAGAGCACAGACTTAGTTGCTCCACGGCATGTAGGATCTTCCCAGACCAGGGATCCAACTCATGTCTCCTACATTGTCAGTTGGATTCTTTACCCCTGAGCTACCAGGGAAGCCCTGTTTGGAGTTTTTTAATCAAACTTTTTTTCAGTACTTGTGACTGGTCTGTTCATGTTTTCTGTTTCTTCCTGGTTCAGTCTTAGAAGACTGTACCTAACAATCTGTCCATTTCTTCCAGGTTGTCCATTTTATTGGCAAACAGTCATTTGTACTAATAGTAGTCTCTTATGATCCTTTGTATTTCTGTGGTGTCAGTTGAAACTTTTTAATTTCTAATTTTATTGATTTGAGTCCTCTCCTTTTTCCCTTGATGAGTCTGGCTAAAGGCTTATCCATTTTATCTTTTCAAAGAACAAGCTTTTAGTTCTTTGCTATTGTTTTGTCTCTATTTCTGCTCTGATCTTTATGATTTCCTTCTAAGTTTGGGTTTTGTTTGTTCTTCTTTCTCTAGTTGCTTTAGGTGCAAGGTTAGGTTGTTTGAGATTCTTCTTGTTTCTTGAGATAAGACTGTACTGCTATAAATATCCCTCTTAGAATTGCTTCTGCTGCATCTCATAGGTTTTGGATCAACATGTTTTCATTGTCATATGTCTCTAGGTATTTTTTTATTTCTTCAGTGACTCATTGGCTATTTAATAACATTGTTTAGCCTCATGTGTTTGTGTTTCTTACAGGTTTTTTTCCTGTAATTTATTTCAAATCTCATAGGATTGTGATCAGAAAAGATGCTTTTATGATTTCAATTTTCTTAAGCCTCAGTAAACTTGTGACCCAAGATGTGATCTATCTTGGAGAATGTTCTGTGTGCATTTGAGTAGAAAGTGTATTCTGCTGCTTTTGGATGGAATGCCCTATGAATACCAATTAAGTCTATTTGGTCTAATCTCTCATTTAAGGTTTGTGCTTCCTTTATTAATTTTCTGTCTGAATGATCTGTCAGTCAGTGTAAATGGGGTGTTAAAGTTCCCTACTACTATTGTGGTGCTGTCAATGTCCCCTTTCATGGCTGTTAAAGTGCAAGTTAGTCACTTAGTCGTGTTTGACTCTTTGTGACCCCATGGACTGTACTCTCTGTCCATGGAATTCTCCAGGTAAGAATACTGGAGTGGGTAGCCATCCCCTTCTCCAGGACCAATGGCTGTTCAGAGCATCTCAATATATGTCAAATGCTTCATTGGGTGCATATGTAATTGTTATGTCTTCTCCTTGTATTGATCCCTCAGTCATAATGTAGTGACCTTCCTTGTCTCTTGTCTATTTTGCCTGATACGAATATTGCTACTTCAGCTTTCTTTTGATTTCTATTTGTATGGATGTCTTTTTCCATCCCCTCACTTTTAGTCTGTATGTGTCCTTAAGTCTGAGGTGGGTCTCTTGTAGATAGCATATATACAAGGCCTTGTTTTCGTATCCATTCAGTCAACCTGTGTCTCTTGGTTGGAGCATTTAATCCATTTACATTTAAGGTAATTATTGATATATACGTTCCTATTTCCATTTTCTTAATTGTTTTGGGTTTGTTTTTGCAGGTCTGTTTTCTTCCCTTCCTCTCTTCCTCTTTTGTTCTTGTGTTTCCCACCTAGAGAGGTTCATTTAGCATTTGTATAAAGTCGGTTTGGTGTTGCTGAATTTTCACAGCTTTTGCTTGTCTGTAAAAGTTTTGATTGCTGTTAAATGTGAATGAGAGCCTTGCTGGGTACAGTATTATTGGTTGTAGGTTTTTCCCTTTCATTACTTTAAATATATTTTGCCACTCCTTTCTGGCCTGCAGAGTTTTAGCTGAAAAATCAGCTGATAACCTTATGGGGATTCCCTTGTAATGTGTTGCTTTTCCCTTGTTGCTTTAATATTTTTATTTATATTTAATTTTTGTTAGTTTGATCCGTGTGTGGTCTCAGCTTGTTCCTCCTTGGGTTTACCCTGTATGGGACTCTCCTCTTTGTGTTCCCTGGATTGGGTGACTGTCTCCTTTCTCATGTTAAGGAAGCTTTCTATTATTAGGCCCTTTCTCCTCTGGGGCTGTTCACCTGTGGCTCTGTTGTGTCCCCTTTTGTCCACCATGCGAGTTCACAAACTACACTATTGTTGGTGCTGCTCTTGGTCCTGCCTTATTAACCCTGGGTATGTGGGCAAATGGCTCAGGTGTTGTTTTCATCAGGTCACTGGTGCAAATCCTACTACTTACCTTTAATTTGTCTATTATCATCAGCTTCACTCCTTTTGATTCTTGCTCAGGACTCTCCTAATGGAGGCTGAAAATACCCTACCTATCTTCCTGTCTTAAATCCTTTTCCAGGTCTGATATTTCTTTAACCATCATGACAACAGCCTCACTTGCAGCCCTCACTCTCCTATCTCAATCCTCTGCCTTCTCTATCTTCTTTTTCTGGCTTCAGTATCTATAGCTCCACAAAAACATAAGGAAGCCAGGGGAACAGTGATCAGGCAAGGAACCAAGAGAGGATTCTCGAAGGCAACCATGTGCCAACTGAAGGTTTTGTGTAATTATGATATACCGACAGGTCAGTGTCTTGGAGTGGGGCCTCCTATGATCATTTTGGTCTAATCTCTCATTTAAAGTTTGTGCTTCCTTTATTAATTTTCTGTCTGAATGAACTGTCAGTCAGTGTAAATGGGGTGTTAAAGTTCCCTACTACTATTGTGGTGCTGTCAATGTCCCCTTTCATGGCTGTTAAAGTGCAAGTTAGTCACTTAGTCGTGTTTGACTCTTTGTGACCCCATGGACTGTACTCTCTGTCCATGGAATTCTCCAGGTAAGAATACTGGAGTGGGTAGCCATCCCCTTCTCCAGGACCAATGGCTGTTCAGAGCATCTCAATATATGTCAAATGCTTCATTGGGTGCATATGTAATTGTTATGTCTTCTCCTTGTATTGATCCCTCAGTCATAATGTAGTGACCTTCCTTGTCTCTTGTCTATTTTGCCTGATACGAATATTGCTACTTCAGCTTTCTTTTGATTTCTATTTGTATGGATGTCTTTTTCCATCCCCTCACTTTTAGTCTGTATGTGTCCTTAAGTCTGAGGTGGGTCTCTTGTAGATAGCATATATACAAGGCCTTGTTTTCGTATCCATTCAGTCAACCTGTGTCTCTTGGTTGGAGCATTTAATCCATTTACATTTAAGGTAATTATTGATATATACGTTCCTATTTCCATTTTCTTAATTGTTTTGGGTTTGTTTTTGCAGGTCTGTTTTCTTCCCTTCCTCTCTTCCTCTTTTGTTCTTGTGTTTCCCACCTAGAGAGGTTCATTTAGCATTTGTATAAAGTCGGTTTGGTGTTGCTGAATTTTCACAGCTTTTGCTTGTCTGTAAAAGTTTTGATTGCTGTTAAATGTGAATGAGAGCCTTGCTGGGTACAGTATTATTGGTTGTAGGTTTTTCCCTTTCATTACTTTAAATATATTTTGCCACTCCTTTCTGGCCTGCAGAGTTTTAGCTGAAAAATCAGCTGATAACCTTATGGGGATTCCCTTGTAATGTGTTGCTTTTCCCTTGTTGCTTTAATATTTTTATTTATATTTAATTTTTGTTAGTTTGATCCGTGTGTGGTCTCAGCTTGTTCCTCCTTGGGTTTACCCTGTATGGGACTCTCCTCTTTGTGTTCCCTGGATTGGGTGACTGTCTCCTTTCTCATGTTAAGGAAGCTTTCTATTATTAGGCCCTTTCTCCTCTGGGGCTGTTCACCTGTGGCTCTGTTGTGTCCCCTTTTGTCCACCATGCGAGTTCACAAACTACACTATTGTTGGTGCTGCTCTTGGTCCTGCCTTATTAACCCTGGGTATGTGGGCAAATGGCTCAGGTGTTGTTTTCATCAGGTCACTGGTGCAAATCCTACTACTTACCTTTAATTTGTCTATTATCATCAGCTTCACTCCTTTTGATTCTTGCTCAGGACTCTCCTAATGGAGGCTGAAAATACCCTACCTATCTTCCTGTCTTAAATCCTTTTCCAGGTCTGATATTTCTTTAACCATCATGACAACAGCCTCACTTGCAGCCCTCACTCTCCTATCTCAATCCTCTGCCTTCTCTATCTTCTTTTTCTGGCTTCAGTATCTATAGCTCCACAAAAACATAAGGAAGCCAGGGGAACAGTGATCAGGCAAGGAACCAAGAGAGGATTCTCGAAGGCAACCATGTGCCAACTGAAGGTTTTGTGTAATTATGATATACCGACAGGTCAGTGTCTTGGAGTGGGGCCTCCTATGATCATAGAAGTGAGTGTTACTTTTTTTGTATTATTCCAGGGAAGAGACGTTTACCAACTGGTTTCTCTGGTTTCATTCCAATTTTTTACACTTGTAGGAGCTATTCTACATGGACACTCACCTGTTGGCTATTCCTGAGGCCTCAGCACCTCGTTCCGTTTCTTCAGAAGTTTCTTGCTTTGCATTAAAAAATCCATCTTTAGTTACAACTTCTTCAGCTAAAATAACACATTGATAATTCAAATGTCATTGCCACCTGAATCTAGAAAAAAATCTCCAGGGTAGGGAATAGGATGTTTCAAATTAAAACCAAAAATCAACAGGTGTCCCAGGAACATAGTCAGCAATCCTAAAAACGTGGTAGAGTGTGGGAAGATACTAAGAAAGGTCAGTTTCCAGGGGAGAAGACCTAGTGGGGCAAAGACTATTTAAAGAAAATTACACATAGACAGTAGTGCTCTCAGAGTAAAGAGAACTTCCTCTGACGTGAAGGAGGGATACAGCAAAGGTGTTTGTGGAATTTCCAGATATTAAGGGATATGTGAAAATAAATTATCTGGGACCCTTGCAAAGGGGGAAAAAGGGGAGCAAAGGACGAGACATTGAGGGAATCAGGGAACACAGAGGGACGATCAGAGAAGAGAACAGCAGGAATCAGTAGGCTGAGTGATTAGTAACAGAAGGTACTGTGATTGTGAGGGATACAAAATGACAGGCCGAGAGAAGCGTGGAGATCGAGACCAGAAGAAGGGGAAAGAAGGGTGTGTAGGAAATGTGGGTTCACAATGGCTGAGTCAGGGTTAATGATGGGAAAGGTGGACACCAGCCAGGGGCCTGTCCTTACCCATGAGACTGATGTCTGTAACCTTCTCCTGAGCCAGACTCGGAACTGGCCACTCCTCCGAGACAAGGACAGGTGCTGCTTCCTCAGTCTTCACTGATGTCTACAAGGACAAAAACTGGCCTCTCAGTCTTCACTGTGGTAAAGATAAAGGGTCTAGTTGTGAAGGGTGCTGACTACCACACTGCACACCAGTAGGACCAACCAGCAGGGCCCGCTCTCTGAAGGTCTAGAGGAGTGTCATCCTGCCTCTCTCCTACTTTCTGAGGGTTGTCAGCAGTCCTCCATGTCCCCTGGATGCACACTCTGGTCTCTGCTTCTGTCGTTACATGGCCTTCTCTGTGTGTGTGTCTGTCATCACGTGGCCTTCGTACAAGGACACTGACCACTGGACGCAGGGCCCACCCTAATGCAGTACGACCTCATCTGAACTTGATTACATCACAGAGTCTAGATCCAAATCAGATCAGTCACATGTACCTGGGCTTAGGACTTCAATACATCTTTTCCAGACACAATACAACCCGTAACTTCATCTTAGCCCTACTTCAATTAATATTAATTTTCTCTTTCTCTGTCTGGTCTTTCATTATTTGACTCAACGCTACTTTCATTCTACTGACCACCCATATCTCTGCCCTTTCATTGCCCAGACTGTTGATCTTCTTACTCCAACTTAATTCAAACTTGATTACACATGGGTGCAACATTTAATTATTTCTTGGAGTTATTATGTTCAAACGTTTGCATTTTTTAAATAAATGCTTTTTTTGTGGGGGGGGGGGTGCTGCCCCACATGGCTTATAGGATCTTGGTTCCTCGATGAGGGATCAAACCTGGGCCCGAGGCAGTGAGCGTGCAAAGTCCTAAACCCCGAACCACCAGGGAATTCTTTCTTTTTTCTTAATAAATTACTTTGTTTCTCCATTATGTTACATTTTAGGATAATTACATTGATTTAAATATACATAAGGTTAAGTTTTACTTGCTATACATTTCACTTGCTATACATTGGTTTTCAGGAAGGTAAAGTATTGAGACTAGGAGGCCCTGGGTCTGATAGGATAAAGAACCAATTAGAAATCACAGAAGAAAACTGAGTGAGGAGAGGACTGCATGAAAACCTGTTTGGAGGAAACGAACTCAGCAGAAAAGGACTTAAATGGGAGAATTAAAATACGTTTAAACTAAATGACTAAGAAAATGATCGGACCACTAAAAATAAGGGGAAAAATGAACAAGAGTCCACTCTGTGAAGAAGATACACAGTACTGCCATTACCATCACCAAGTATTAATTGGGCATGTGCAGAACACTGGGACTATAAAGGAATATGAGGAAGAGGTTGGTTCTCAGACTGCGGAGAGAAACCAGAGGTTCCTCAAAAGAGAAAACATGTCACTGGACACCAAATGAGTGGAGGCACTTTCTGAAACCAAGGGCCTCACTCTGCCCCTTATTCTTATAGCCTGAGATTTGGATGTGCCTTCCGCATTCGGTGCGGAATGAGGCAACAGCGTGTGTGTGTGAGCTCCCGGATGAGGCGCACATGGGGTGTGGTATTCTGTGACAAGGTGAAGACACAGGGATTGTGCCACCTGAAAGGCTCTTGGGGTGACCAGTGTGAGCCAAGAGAAGGGGCACGGATGGGTGGGCGGGGGGAGGAGGGCTACTACTGAGGCTCCCACAGTCTGGGCACCCTGCTCACCTGGGATCTGGCTGGGTTCAACCCCAGTACTGCAGCCTGGTCTCTCGGATTCTCTTCCTGGAGAGGGTCTGGTCTCTGGGACGCAGGCCTTGTGGACGGAGCAGACAAGAGTCCTGAAGAGACACAGTAGCTTTTACAAGAGCCCTTTGTGGGGGACCCAGCCCCTAAATCTTATGTTTGTTAAACATCCAAGAACTAAGATACAGATCTTAAGCTAGAACATCACGTCTATTTTCATTGTTAGGAATTCTAAAGCTTTAGCGTCTCCCATCCACAGAATAAGTAGTGTTTGTGAACTCATGAGATGCTTTCCAGTGATGCACTTTCACAGACATAAAAGAAAAATCAGAAATCACAGATGAAAATAAGGAGAGGGAAGAAGCTGGTGACTGAAGAAACATTAACCAGAGAACAAAGAATAAAGATAAGTGGAGAATAGAGACAAAGCCAAGAAGCAACAGGGAAGCAGGTAAGAGAAAGATGAAGAGAGAAAATAAGGATAAAAAAATTGAGCTGATAATGGGGGAGGCTGGGTATGTGTGGGAGGCAGGGGGAGACGAGAAATCTCCTTTCAATTTTGCTGTGAACCTAAAATGGCTCTAAAAAAAGTCATACATGTACACTTGAAACTAATAACACTGTAAATAAACTATACTTCAGTCAAAAAAGTCAGACACACAGTCATACACAGAAGAGATGCTAACTGCAAACTAGGAGAACTTTTGAGAATCTGCTGCATTGGAAACCACAATCCAAACAGTGATAATGACTGCATGTCACTGCACTGTTACTTAGAAAGATTCTTTCCAATTCCTTCTCTGTACAAGGGGTAGAACACAGTCCATTTTACAGGGGCACTGAAGGCTGAGATAACATAAAAGCCCTCTGTAAAGCCCTTTAAGACCCCATACAAAGTAATGTACCAGTTTGCCAAGACGGTAACAATAGTGGAAGTCCAGAATTACTAAACAGAGTGCACAGGGGATAATTCTAACCCAGAACATGGTGCTACTTTTCTTTGCTTCAACAGTGAATCACTGTGGAATCCTTTTGGTGCTCTTCCTTCATACTAGAGACAATAAAGCTTGCTAGGAAAATAAAAGAGCCTTGCTCATGATTCACTATTACTACCTAATCTCCCCACAATGCATATATGCCAAAAAAACCAACAGCTTAAAAAGCACAGTGTGAAGCAGGTCTGCTGTCAGAGAAAGGGCTAAGCTAAGGAGAGGCAAGATGGCAACGGAAAATGGAAGAGGGGCAAAGAGATCAAGAGCAATGGGAAATCTGAGAGCAAACGTCAGACCAGACTCTGTGACTGCTCCTTATCATCCTCCTGAGGTGGAAAAGCTTTAGGGTTAAACCTGGGACGAAGGTAGAAGAATGTTTTCAAACATATTATAGCTCATTACACTCACCACACTGATCCCGTTGCTCTATATCTCTGCCAAAGACAGAATAAGACAAAGTGGGCTTAAGCTGTCATGAATAAGATGATATCAAGGTCTTTTCTACTTTTCCATCAGCATATCTAAAATTTAACAATCTGACACTAAGAATCACAGCTAAGCATTAAGAGACTAGCAAAACTAAAGTACTCAGTAGTTTTCATTTTAAATCTAGTGTTCCATGACTGGTGGGAATGAAATACCAAATACACACAAATAACAGTCACTGTAAATCATATTTTTTACATTAAGAAAAAAAAAAAGGCTTCGATGGTACCCAACTTTTTTTCCAAGTCTGAACTTCCTGGTTTGAATTTAAACACCCCATAAAATGGCCCCAACTGACCTTCCCTCCCACCCCCCCTTTCCCCTAAATAAACCCTACCCTCCAGTCATGCGGGCTGACTTATTATCCCTTTGAAAATACCAGCAGGAGGGGAGGGAAGGCAGGGAGCCTGGAGAATTGATCTTCCGTTCATTTGGTTTCCGGTACCCTGGAGAAATGTGCTTGGGTTATGACTAGTAGGCACACAGGTCCTTGGCCAGAGTCTCCAGAATATTTGGGAGGGCCTGCCCCCTTCTAATGTCTATGTCAGAAGCTTTCTCTCTCTCCTTTATACTTTAATAAAACCTTATTACACAAATAGGGGCTTCCCTGGTAGCTCAGATGGTAAAGCATCTGCCTATAATGCAGGAGACCTGGATTCAATCCCTGGGTCGGGAAGATCCCCCGGAGGATTAAATGGCAACCCACTCCAGTATTCATGCCTGGAAAAATCCCATGGACCAAGGAGCCTGGTGGGCTACAGTCCATGGGGTTGCAACAATCGGACACGACTAAGTGACTTCACTTCTTCACTTCTTCTTACAAGGGTAAAAAACCCTTGCGAATGACAGGGAATGCATCTTGAAGGAGGCCACTGAAGAAAACGTTACCATGGGGAAAAAGGCAAAGTTATGGAAAGCTACCAAGTAAATATTTAAATTCCAGGTGTGGAATTACAAATGTGGAGTAGACACATATAGTAAAGAAAATCTTGGTCAGAAGGTCAGGTGACAATGCCTCTGCTGACCCTGGGCAAGTCATTTATACTCTGAGTTTTGGTTTTCCTAACTACTAAGGGTGTTGAAAAGATCTTAGATTTCTAACATTTTACAGGTGTTTCTAAAAGCTTGCTTAGGTACAGGGTTAGACAAAAACAAAACTTGAGAACACAGATAAACAAGCCTTCACTTAGAAGGCCGCGCACCTGTCAGCGGCCTGTTCCCAGCGTCTTTACTAACCTCCCCTCCGGCACTCACCACTCACTGCTTGGGGGGACGCTGGAGGCTCACACTTCAGGGCGGTTGCCCCCAACAGGAACTGGGGGCTCTGACACTCTGAGGAGGTTCCTTGATATCACCACACTGATCCCGTTGCTCTATATCTCTGCCAAAGACAGAATAAGACAAAGTGGGCTTAAGCTGTCATGAATAAGATGATATCAAGGTCTTTTCTACTTTTCCATCAGCATATCTAAAATTTAACAATCTGACACTAAGAATCACAGCTAAGCATTAAGAGACTAGCAAAACTAAAGTACTCAGTAGTTTTCATTTTAAATCTAGTGTTCCATGACTGGTGGGAATGAAATACCAAATACACACAAATAACAGTCACTGTAAATCATATTTTTTACATTAAGAAAAAAAAAAGGCTTCGATGGTACCCAACTTTTTTTTTAAGTCTGAACTTCCTGGTTTGAATTTAAACACCCCATAAAATGGCCCCAACTGACCTTCCCTCCCACCCCCCTTTCCCCTAAATAAACCCTACCCTCCAGTCATGCGGGCTGACTTATTATCCCTTTGAAAATACCAGCAGGAGGGGAGGGAAGGCAGGGAGCCTGGAGAATTGATCTTCCGTTCATTTGGTTTCCGGTACCCTGGAGAAATGTGCTTGGGTTATGACTAGTAGGCACACAGGTCCTTGGCCAGAGTCTCCAGAATATTTGGGAGGGCCTGCCCCCTTCTAATGTCTATGTCAGAAGCTTTCTCTCTCTCCTTTATACTTTAATAAAACCTTATTACACAAATAGGGGCTTCCCTGGTAGCTCAGATGGTAAAGCATCTGCCTATAATGCAGGAGACCTGGATTCAATCCCTGGGTCGGGAAGATCCCCCGGAGGATTAAATGGCAACCCACTCCAGTATTCATGCCTGGAAAAATCCCATGGACCAAGGAGCCTGGTGGGCTACAGTCCATGGGGTTGCAACAATCGGACACGACTAAGTGACTTCACTTCTTCACTTCTTCTTACAAGGGTAAAAAACCCTTGCGAATGACAGGGAATGCATCTTGAAGGAGGCCACTGAAGAAAACGTTACCATGGGGAAAAAGGCAAAGTTATGGAAAGCTACCAAGTAAATATTTAAATTCCAGGTGTGGAATTACAAATGTGGAGTAGACACATATAGTAAAGAAAATCTTGGTCAGAAGGTCAGGTGACAATGCCTCTGCTGACCCTGGGCAAGTCATTTATACTCTGAGTTTTGGTTTTCCTAACTACTAAGGGTGTTGAAAAGATCTTAGATTTCTAACATTTTACAGGTGTTTCTAAAAGCTTGCTTAGGTACAGGGTTAGACAAAAACAAAACTTGAGAACACAGATAAACAAGCCTTCACTTAGAAGGCCGCGCACCTGTCAGCGGCCTGTTCCCAGCGTCTTTACTAACCTCCCCTCCGGCACTCACCACTCACTGCTTGGGGGGACGCTGGAGGCTCACACTTCAGGGCGGTTGCCCCCAACAGGAACTGGGGGCTCTGACACTCTGAGGAGGTTCCTTGATATTCTGTCACCAGTAGGTGCAGGTCCTGTCCTACAGTGTAGACAGAAGCCTGGGAACAAAAGATTCACTTTGAAAAGGCATCCTGGTGGGAACTGGACTGAACAGCAGTTAGGGACATTTCCCAAGGGAACACCAGACAAGCTTCATTTAATCCTTAAGTAGAGAGTAAGACAAAGTAGCAAGACACAGACATTCACTCATCTGGCAAATTTGGACTGAAGGCCTACTAAAGCCAGGCTCTGTTCTACATGCTGGGCAAAGAAGAGACACAATACAGGCAAAGAACCCCTGCCTAGAAAACAAAACAAAACCCCAGATGTATGCTTAAACTAGTGTGTGGAAGTTTAGTGAGAAATAGGATATGTACATCATCTCCAAATGTCTCCCACAGCTTACTTACTAATTACAAAGGGGAAAATGGTAACTTGATAGTGGAGAAATCTGACATATACCAACTTAACCTCATCAGTAACAGGACGATCCACCACCATGGGCCTCCTGAAGTGATGCACTGAGGAGACCACAATGCCATTTCTGTGGAATTCCAGCCAAAATGTACTACCTGGGTCTTATCATGAGAAAATACAAGGCAAACCCAAATTGAGGGGCATTCCAAAAAGTAACTGACCTGTGCTCTTCAAAAATGTCATTGTCATGACAAAGACTGAACAACTGTTCCAGATCTAAGAAGACTGAAGAGACAGCAACTAAAAAATGTGTGATGATGGAATCAGGGCAAAACTGTCATAAGGAACACTATTGGGCTATTATGGATACATCTGAACAAGGACTACTACTGAGGTGATAGTATCATAAAAATTTTAATTTCCCAAAACATGATAATCTATATTCCAGTTATACAAAAGAATGTCTTTCTTCTTCAGAAACACACACTGAAGTGTTTAGAGATAAAAGGTCGCGGTATCTCCAACTAATTCCATTCTCAAATGGTTCAAGAAAAAAAACTGCATAAGCTGTATGTGGGTGTGTGCATGCACACGTATGTATGCATACAGAGAGAGGGAGCATTTGCTCACACAAGAAGGGTGGCACATTCCTGTAACAAATGTTAATATTTTGTTAACATGTGTGTGAATCATACACACAGTTCTCTGCACTTCTCTCCCAATACAAGTTATAAATTATTTCAGAGTTAAAAATTGACAAATGTTCGCCACTACATCTCCCACACCACCACACACATTCTCTTCCCACCTGTTCTCCTGAGTCTCCTGTGTCTCTCTCTAGACTCTCCAGCGCTGTCACTGCGTCCTCCCCACTCTCCAAAGAACATGCCTGCAACCTGGCCTGGAGCTCCTTGGGCAGGATGGTCAGGAACTGCTCCAACACCAGCAGCTCCAGGATCCGCTCCTTGCTGTGGGTCTCTGGGCTCAACCACCGATGGCAAAGTTCTCGGAGCTGGGCCAGAGCCTCCCGGGGCCCAGCTACCTCCTGGTAGCAGAACTGCCGGAAGCGCAGGCGGCAAAGCTCCCGAGTGTGGGAGCCACTCTCCTGTGAGCTGCATGTCTGTTCCCATGTGGGATCTTCCTCCTTCACTTTCACAAAGCTGTCTCCATTTTCAGGAGCGGGGTCCTGCAAAACTTCATCCATGTTGACCTTAAGGGCTTAGAAAACAGTTCACTTAGCTTTTCCAAATGTATACCTGAGGCATAAGTATTGATCAGTAACGTGAAAATAACAAGAGCTTCAAAAATCTATGTAACACATATTTTTGTCCCCACTCTAAGTGATGCTCAACAACTGAGCCCGCTTGCCTGTTTTATCAATGAAGTATACCTTGACTCCTAAGGGAGTAGAGCCCAAAGGGAGGGGATATAAGAGAAGAAGGGTTAATAAGAATGCCTGAGCAGCTTATACTTTAGAAGGAGGGAAGGTCATCTATCTCTGTGTCTTTCTCACAGAATACTTTAGCTTAGGTGAAGTAGACTTTCAAAAGTCTCCATGTCTCCATTGCCTAAGATCTGTTGTGATGAGATTTTGTTACTTTTCCCATTATGGGATGGAGTCTTTTTCCTTCCCTTGAATCTGCGTTGGTCTGTGACTTGCTCTGACCAATAAAATATGGCAGATATGACACTGTAAGCGGAAGTGCTCTTGTAGTGCCTGGCACACAGCCATGAGACTGCCATGCTGTGAGAAGGCCCAAGCTAGCCATGCAGAGGTCACGTGGATGAGAGCCACAGAGCCCCAGCTGAAGCGGAGCTGAGCCTACTCCCCAGCCACATGAGTAAGTCCGGTAGTACTGCCCAGTCAACCTACAGACTCATAAGAATTAATAAGCTGAAGTTGTCTTACACCACTAAGTTTGGGGCTTTATTTTTTTATGTAACAATAGATAAACTGTAGAAATATTTCGACTTCTGTTTCTCCCTCTCATTTTTCCTTTTGTTATCTCCATCAAAATTCAATATTATCTCTGTTCTAAGAACACTCTTATCTGGTTCTGACTTGCCTTTCATATTCCAGACTCACATCTTGAAATGCCACACGATGCCTCCAGCCTTGGACCTTCCTGCCCTGTCATTTCAACACATCCCCAACTGAAACCAGCCTCCTCAAAGCTGCACTCACTCTGTATTTTTCTATTTCTGTTGGCATCACCACCATCTTCCAGGTATTCAGGCCAAAGCCAGCCTACATATAGTGTACATATCACCCTGGGTCCAGTCAGTTCTTCCTCCAAGATGCCTCTTGCACCCACTGCTTCATCTTCCGTTTTACACCCTTATTGTGATTGACAGTCACTATTATCACAATATTTTCTGTGTGGTATTCCTGCCCCACCACCTCATCATCACTGGATCAGTATTTCTTAAAGCACAATTCGGACCATATCTGACAACACCCCTCCCCCCTCAAATGCTAATTTCAGTTGCTCCTGGTTGAACTAAATTCAAACTCCCCAGGATTCGATCTTAGAACTGAGTTTCGCTTACGTGTTTGCCACTCGATAAACATTTATCGAGCACATCATTATTTTCCAGGAGCTATTCCCAGAATAAAAGACACAGACCCTACTTGCAAGAAAGCCATCGTCTTCTCAAATGCCTCGTGTCACTGCCAGCTGATACTCAAATTTGTTCCACCCACCTTGTACGTTATGGCCACGACCAGTCTTCTGTGAATCCCCAAGGCCCAACGCAAATGCCACCCCCAAACCTAACGTACAGACAATCTTCTCCTCTGAGCCACTCAGACGGAGAGGGTTCCCATTGAAAAGTGAGCCCAAACCTGCCTCACCAACACGCTTCACTTTTCAACTCACAGGTCACAGCCCCCATCACGACCACCACCCCTTGCTCCTTGAGGCCAGGGTCTTGTCTTTGCCGGTGTACCTGGTATTCAACAAATACTGGTGGATGTCTTGCTGAGCGCACGGAGATGAACTGGGATGCCAGACGTCCCGCGGGCCCAGAACATATCTTACTGCGATCGCATCCCAGCACTTGGAATACAGGGGGCACTCGGTGAATGACTGTCTTAACTGCTGGCTAACAGACCAAAAGTTCAAGGAACAAGCACAACAAAGACGTAGCTGACCCAGTGAAAAATCCCACCTGAGAGCGGAGGCCCAGCTCTGCAGTCTGGAGAAGCCAGCTGCCTCGCCTAGTGGGCGTGCCGCACTTCCTGCCGTCAGGACTTCGGGGGCCAAAGATTTCTCCTCTCGCCGCTGTGGCTGCCTAGCCGGCTCTGTGCCTCTCTAGGAATGCGGCCGCACGTCTCCCTGGTGCGCCTGGAGGACTCCAGCTGCCACAGCCCAACCTGCTCAGTAGCATAGTCTCCGACAGACCATCCCGATATCCCTAAACTACCCCTCATTTTTGCAATTACGTCAATTAAAAACCAAGTAGATGATGAAGGCAAAACTGAGTTTCGGTCTTTAGAGTCCTCACAGGCTGCTGGGAAGACAGATGAATAAACGTTGCCACACAGCAAGCAGCACATATTTTAAAATTTTAAATATACAGATTCAAATACGCACAACTAAAACTCAAGTTGCATATGACTGCATATATGACTTAGTTAAGCCTGCTGATAATGTATCAATATATCAAAATATATTAAAGAGCCCTATAATAAAAAAACTAAAACACACCCTCGAGTTGCACAGAGACTGAAATGAAAAGTATCCTAGCTCCCCACAGTTAACCACTGTTAGTATTTTGTGTATACCCTCCCAGGACACCACTAACCACACAATAGCACTCAACAAACATTTGTTTAGTAAGTATGCATTTTAAACCACCTCTGGCATCATGATGTTATTTTACATCTTATCTTTTTCAGTTAAGAAAACTTGGCGATCTTCCCATACCAGTTTATCTTTTAAGAGCTAATTAGTATTCCAGTGTATGGGCTAAATTTACTTAACTATCCCTACTGTATTTTTTCTTTATAAGTAGAGAACACCACTGAGTAGCTTTATATGCTTTTATGAATATATTTCTAGGGTAAATACATACTGGAATATATTTGTCAAAGGGCATGTGCATTTAAATTTAAATCCCCTGTTTAATTTTTAAGGGCACTGCTGTTTAAGAGTAAAATGAGAATCTAATAGAATAATTCAGCCCAGGTGAACATGGTGGTTCAAAATCAGAATTAATATTAATTAACAACCACCATGTGAAAAGATGGTCAGTTTTGACAGTAAAACTATTTAAAAACTCTAAAAAGTAAACTCAAACAGAAATGGCCAATCAGACGATATTGTTGCAATACAGTACAGTCTTCCTGACTTTCTGCTCTGAGTAGATTTTTAACTGCCTTTTAAGGTGTCTAGGATGTTTTATGTTGTAAGCAAAACCCCAACTGAATCTGTTATAACATTTGCCCTTTGTTCAACATTTCTATAATTTTCGGGGATAAGGAAAACATTACGTAAATATATCTCTATCCATCATTTGTGCCTAGGTGGTTATTTATGGGTCTGCCCCCAGGGTACAGATGAGCACACCACTTCCTTTGGAATTGTAAGGAAGAATTAGGTTAAAGTGTTAATGAATTTAGGATGCTTGTAATACCTATACTATAGAATCATCATGAAAAGAAAAAGCCAAGATTAATTTTCCAGAGAGTTAAGGGTATGTACTGTTCATGGGGTTCTCAAGGCAAGAATACTCAAGTGATTTGCCATTCCCTTTTCCAGTGGATCACGTTTTGTCAGAACTCTCCACCATGACCCGTCTGTCTTGGGTGGCCCTAACATGGCATGGCTCATAGTTTCATTGAGTTAGACAAGGCTGTGATCCAAGTGATCAGTTTGGTTAGTTTTCTGTAATCGTGGTTTCCATTCTCTCTGCCCTCTGAGCGATAAGGATGAGAGGCTTGTGGAAGCTTCAGCTAAGTCGCTTCAGTCGTGTCCAACTCTGTGCGACCCCATAGACGGCAGCCCACCAGGCTTCTTTGTCCTTGGGATCCTCCAGGCAAGAATACTGGAGTGGGTTGCCATTTCCTTCTCCAACGCATGCATGCATGCTAAGCCACTGCAGTTGTGTCCAACTCTATGCGACCCTACGGACAGCAGCCCACCAGGCTCCTCTATCCACAGGATTCTTTAGGCAAGAATACTGGAGTGGGTTGCCATTTCCTTCTCCATGTGGAAGCTTCAGTCAATCCTAAAGGAAATCAGTACTGAATATTCACTGGAAAGACTGATTCTGAAGTTGAAGCTCCAATACTGTGGCCACCTGATGCAAAGAACTGACTTACTGGGGAAAAAAAAAACCCTGATGCTGGGAAAGATTGAAGGTAGGAGAAGGGGGCAACAGAGGATGAGATGATTGGATGGCATCACCGACTTGATGGACATGACTTTGAGCTAGCTCCGGGAGTTGGTGACGGACAGGGAAGCCTGGCATGCCATAGCCCATGGGGTCACAGAGTTGGACATGACTGAGCGACTGAACTGAAGGGTATGTAATTCTTCATACATTGAATCTTTTCATTATCATCGCTCTTTAATGAGAATAAAGATATTTCAGGTTACTTCCTTAACTGAGCAGAATCAAATAGATCTAAACTATGATATAGAGCTAAATGTTTAGGCATTAACCTCAGTACATCCCTCAAAACTCTTGGAAAACTCCCTGGTATCAACTTAATTTTACTAATAAAAGAATAAAAGATACATACCTTATGGCTTCTTAAGCAATGGAATATGACTGATTTTCCATAAAATTCAATTTCTTGAAAAATTACAGCTGCTTCTCCTGAAAATGGCATTAATTGTTGCTTCTGGTCAGCTTGCACCGAGTCCGATCACAGTGGGAAGTGGATCAAAGGCTCCTAAGTGCCTATTTCAACCTTCATCCTCCCCTTTACTCTTAGTAACAGAAGCCTGATTTTCAGCTGGACACTCTGAAACCCAGAATAAGATATACTTTCCAGTTTCCCTTCCTTTAGTTTTGGCCTATGATATACGTGCTGAAGTGATTTATGGGAAAGCTGCTTAAAAGGAGCTGACTGACGGGGAGGCACCTCTGTCCTTCTGCCTTCTGTCTGCGTTTTGTATGTGATAGCTGGAGCTTCAGCAGCCATCAAGGGTCATATGATGACTTTAAGGAATGATGGCATGAAAGGCAAAGGCTGGGGCCCCTAGTGATGTCAGAGAACCACCTTCCAGGCCTGGACTGCTGTCTCTGGCCTTTTCTATTTAAAGAAAAACAAACTTTTATTATGTTATTCCCACTTTTTGTGTTTGAATTATATGCAGCTGAACAAAACCTTAGCAAAACCTGAGGGCTCACCAGTCTTCCCACTCACATGACAGACTAAGAAGTCTTTTCTAGACAGCGGTACCCCAAGCAGCTGCCACCAATCAGCAAGTGATATTTATCATCCTGGTGACATATTCAGAAGTCAGACTCCCCTAAGCTTACTAGTCTTCACCATTACCATGACATTTTGGCATTCACAATGTGACGATCATGATCTCTTCCAAGCTGATTTTATTACTTGACTTTCAAAATTCCAGAACAAACAGCATTTTAAAATTACATCATCAGTATTAAAGGAAAAAAATCCAATTTCTTTCCCCAAACATTTATCAAAGTTTCTATGCAGCAGCCACTATATATTCCCACTTTTTGTGTTTGAATTATATGCAGCTGAACAAAACCTTAGCAAAACCTGAGGGCTCACCAGTCTTCCCACTCACATGACAGACTAAGAAGTCTTTTCTAGACAGCGGTACCCCAAGCAGCTGCCACCAATCAGCAAGTGGTATTTATCATCCTGGTGACATATTCAGAAGTCAGACTCCCCTAAGCTTACTAGTCTTCACCATTACCATGACATTTTGGCATTCACAACGTGACGATCATGATCTCTTCCAAGCTGATTTTATTACTTGACTTTCAAAATTCCTGAACAAACAGCATTTTAAAATTACATCATCAGTATTAAAGGAAAAAAATCCAATTTCTTTCCCCAAACATTTATCAAAGTTTCTATGCAGCAGCCACTATATTAACACTGAAGTTATCAAGAAAGATAGTTGCTACTTGGATTAATTCAGCCTGGTTAATTCAAATAATTTACCAAATCTCTTCCATAGTCTAAATAAAACTTTAGTTCCTAATTTGAATCAGTGAGGTATATACGGCAGGGATGGGGCTGAGAAATGGTAAAATTAGATCATCATTGCTTTCCAAAATGCGTCTGCTGATTGGGGTGGGGATGGGGTAGTAAAATCAGTGGGGAAAAAAGTTCACCATTAATAACCTGCACTTTAAGATACCTTTGAGGGGCTTCCCTGGCAGTCTGGTGGAAGCCTGCGCTCCCAGTGCAGGGGGCATGGGTTTGATCCCCGGTCGGAGAACTAAGATCCCATGTGCTGTGCAATGCAGCAAAAAAAAAAAAATTTTAAAGGTACCTTTCAGTGTGGTATTCCAAAGTCCTTTTTTTTTTTTTTTTCCCTGGAGTAGGATTTTAATTTTATGCTTCCTTGATTGTAGGATAATCAATCTTTCATAAAATGTCTCACACATTCACTGCTGCAGACATTTCTTGCTTAAGCTGCCAAGCGTCCTTTTTCCAAACCTTTTTAATGTGGTATTCCAAAGTCCTTTTTTTTTTTTTTTGTATAGGAAACTGCTGCTGCAGAATGTGGAAAAATATCAACCCTCTTTTCTGCTTAAACCTATAAATCTATACACACTTGACGTACTGATGACTACAAGCCCTTGATCATGAGGCTCTCTGCTACTTGGAGACATATAACTACACATTTACCATGTTAAAGGCTCTGAGAAGTCCTGCAGCAAAGAATGCTTTTACCTTTGATCCCACAGTACCATCTAGGGTCAAAATATTGAGGCCCAAAGCTGACTACAAGGAAAATAAGCGTGCAGGCAGAAAGCCTTCAACTTGGCCCCCAAGTTCTCTGCCAGAATTGGCTAGAATGACTTTTCCTGAAGTGCTGCTTATTAATGTACTGTCTCTGATGGTCCATGAGGAGAGGACACTTCATCAAGCCAGTCTGTCTTTGTGGTGATATCTCTGATGTTGAAAAAGACCAGACCTCTGCCTGAAGGCTTCTCCACATTCATTACACTTGTAGGGTTTTTCCTCGTTGTGGATTCTCACATGCTGAGCGAGATGTGAGTTTAATCGGAAGGCTTTCTGGCAAATAGTACACTTGAAAGGTTTTTCTCCAGTGTGAATCCTGTGGTGTCGAATAAGGTCTGAGGTCAAACTGAAGGCTTTTCCACACTCGTTACACTGGTGGCTTTTGGAGTGGCTGTGGATTCTCTGATGGTGGGTGAGGAGAAGGGCCTGACTAAAGGTTTTCCCACACTCTTTGCACTGACAGGGCTCCTCCTGACTGTGAATTCTCTGGTGTCGATTAAGGTGGGAGCTGCGCCGAAAGTTCTTTCCACAGTGGATACATAGATAAGGTTTCTCTCCAGTATGGATTCTGAGATGTTCCAAAAGGCCTGCATTCTGGCTAAAGACTTTTCCACACTCCTTGCACTGATAAGGCTTCTCACCAAGATGGATTTTCTGATGTCTGACAAGGTGTGAACTTCTCTGAAAGGCTTTCCCACATTCATGACACTGATGACCTTTTTCTCTAGAGCAGATTTTCTGATGTCCAGGAAGACTAGAACTCTGACACACTTCAGCGTCACAGAGCTTTTCTTTCATGTGTGAACTTTCATGCTTAATCAGGTCTGAGTGCTGGATGAACCCCTGCCCGCATTCTGGGCATTTACAGTCAGTCTTCTCCTTGGGCTCAGCCTGCTGCCTATCCAAGTTAGAATCCTTGTAATGAACCTCCATGGGTTCAGATGGTTTCCCAGTTGATTCCACTCTTTCACAGGAGTCTGTCTCTACAACCAACTTCCCATTCTCAATCCTTTTCTCCTCACCTGAAACATTAAGTACATAACACCAATTACTTGTTTTTTGGTGCTCAGGAAAAGGAATCTGCAATTAGGAGGATAAAACTGAATCAAGCCACGTGTGCAAAATGGAAATGTGGATGCTTGTGTTTGCACAGAACATACATGGAATGATACATATGAAAATGTTTCCCAGTGGCTGCTTTGGGAGAATTATGGTGAGAAATGACTTATTTTAAATGGTTTGAAGTTAATCATGTGATACATATGCATATATACATACAGAGAGAAGTTAGTTCTATGTTCTCTTTTTTTTAAAAATCTGCTTATGGTTTCAGTGAAGAAAATACTGAACATTTTCCTGCCTTCACTCCTTCCTTCCTAAACCCATCCTAAATGCCAATCATTACTGTAGGCATTGAGGTTATCAAGTAGGATAAAAACTTATTTTTTATGAACTCTTTTTTGAAAGGAGACAGAGAATTATAAATAAGTAGTGGGAAAATAACATAAAGTTTGTGCCAGGCATAGCAGCAACACAGAAGAAAAAAATGACTGTTGCAATTTTATCTTTGAGAGTTTTTTGCTAATCTAGTTTTCTATAAATTACCATAAAATATCAACCACCAGGCAAAACCAGGAAATAAGAACATATTATACTAAAATATTTGAATAATTTATAATGGCTATATTACTTAAAAAACTTCAGTTCATTTAGGCAAAATGATGAGATCACTGGTCTCAAAATTGAAGAAAAAGCATATAGAATTGCAGGATCTGAAAAGAACATACAATTGAAAGTATTTAAAAGTGAGATTAAACAAACAAGGACCTACTGTATAGCACAGGGAACTCTGCTCTGTGATGGCCTGTGTGGGAAAAGAGTCCAAAAAAGAATAGACATATGAATATGCATAACTGATTCACCAAACTGTATACCTGAGACTAACATGACACTGGAAATCAACTAGACACCAATAAAAAATTTTTAAGTGTGGATATATGTACAACTGATTCACAACTGATTCATACAGCTGATGGCTGTATGCTCTTGATAACGGTCAGTCATGTGGAAATTAGAAAGCTAGGTCAATTAAATACCCAGGCCAAATAAGAGCAAGGGATAGCACCAGAAATGAAGAAATGAACTGGAAATGAAGACATGCAGACTTGCTTATGGTTTCAGTGAAGAAAATACTGAACATTTTCCTGCCTTCACTCCTTCCTTCCTAAACCCATCCTAAATGCCAATCATTACTGTAGGCACTAAGGTTATCAAGTAGGATAAAAACTTATTTTTTATGAACTCTTTTTTGAAAGGAGACAGAGAATTATAAATAAGTAGTGGGAAAATAACATAAAGTTTGTGCCAGGCATAGCAGCAACACAGAAGAAAAAAATGACTGTTGCAATTTTATCTTTGAGAGTTTTTTGCTAATCTAGTTTTCTATAAATTACCATAAAATATCAACCACCAGGCAAAACCAGGAAATAAGAACATATTATACTAAAATATTTGAATAATTTATAATGGCTATATTACTTAAAAAACTTCAGTTCATTTAGGCAAAATGATGAGATCACTGGTCTCAAAATTGAAGAAAAAGCATATAGAATTGCAGGATCTGAAAAGAACATACAATTGAAAGTATTTAAAAGTGAGATTAAACAAACAAGGACCTACTGTATAGCACAGGGAACTCTGCTCTGTGATGGCCTGTGTGGGAAAAGAGTCCAAAAAAGAAGAGACATATGAATATGCATAACTGATTCACCAAACTGTATACCTGAGACTAACATGACACTGGAAATCAACTAGACACCAATAAAAAATTTTTAAGTGTGGATATATGTACAACTGATTCACAACTGATTCATACAGCTGATGGCTGTATGCTCTTGATAACGGTCAGCCATGTGGAAATTAGAAAGCTAGGTCAATTAAATACCCAGGCCAAATAAGAGCAAGGGATAGCACCAGAAATGAAGAAATGAACTGGAAATGAAGACATGCAGACATGGTGCCAATTTTATCACTGATTTGCTGTGTTTCTTAGGTGATTTAAATCCTCTGGGCTCAGTGTCCTCACCAATAAATCAAAAAAACATTGGGCCACAAGACCTTGAGGGTAACATGAAGTCCACAAAAATGTCTTAGCCTTTCCTGATCTCCTTGGACAGCAGTAACTGCTTTCCTGTGTGGTTCAGTAGACCCATTATGGTTCATTGCTTTAATAATTTGCTTATAGATGTGGCACAGAAGAGATAATAAACAATGTTTGCTGAATAAAAACTTAGCTCAGACACCAGGGAGAGGGTGAGAGGGAAGAGCAGATAGGAGCATGGAGTCCAGGAGCAGGAATGGGATGGAAATGAGAGTAAATGAGAGAATGAGAGTAAAAGGAGGAGTGGATGGAGAAAATAGAAGCGGGAGAGAGAGTCTAAGCAGCACTATAACAAACAAATGAAGCTTACTTTGTGTGAGCAAGATAAAGACAGCAAGCAGAACATTTCAAAAGTGAGAGTAAATGAGAAAGTGAAAATGGTGGGTGGGGGGAGGAGGTATCAGAGAAAGAAAAAGCACATGTTGGGGAGGCAGAATAGAAACATTAGAAACCTGATTGGGTGTAAAGGCCTTTGGCAAGAGGATGAATAGCCCCCATGGGGAGGGAGTGAGAGAACAGGCTTTTCCGAGAGGACAGAATGACACACACAACTAAAAGGGAATGCAGGGGCCTCTGACACTGAAAAACAACCTGAACTTTGAGTGTAAAATAACATTTTTCAACAGATCTAGAGGGTAAGGAACAATTTCAAGAATTTACTGTTGCTAAATCTACTTTTTGTATTTAAAATATATACCTGTCATTGATTACATGGCACAGATTGATTCATTTCTGCAAGGCTGTTTAGAAAAAGTAGACCTCTCTCTTTTGGCTACTTTACTCAGAAAGCTTTCAGAAAAAGAGGAATTTTGAAGCAGACTCAGAAACTGTGCAGGGGAACCAGGCAGTAAGTAAAAGAAGCCTTTACAATTGAAATCAGCCATTCATCAAATAGATATATACTGAAGGTCTACTCTAGGTGAGGGATGGTAGCAGACTCAGGAGACAAAACAAAGCCCTGTCCTTTGGGTCTGGCAGGAGGAAAAGAGAAGTAAACCAGCAATTCTAATATAATATGATCAGTTCTATGGTAGCTTTAGCAGCAGAGGTGGGGAAATTGATCTAGACTTGGAGGGATTTAGGAAGGACAGAGAAAGCAATATCTAAGCTAGCTGTGAAGAAGGAGTAGAAATTAGCCAGGGAGAGTGAGGAAAAAGTATTCCAGACAGACAAAAAGCAAATGGGAAATGGACTCAGTATGAGGAGAAACACACATGACAGCCGATGGAACCAAGGATGACTAATTGTCCCAGTGTGTCTGGGAATGAGGGGTTTCCCAGCACATGGAACAGTCGGATTGAAAAGTCTCCAGCAAACAGGGGCAAGCTGGTTATGTCAGGGAACACGAGGCTGCAAGGTCCCCCAGTGCCGGAACATGCCAGGTGAGGCTTCTGTTAAGAGCTACTGGGAGTGATTGAAGGTGGTGGGTTGTTTCTTAGTTCATTGAAGGTCTTCAAGGAGGGGAGCAACAGTAACGAATTTGTGTTAAAACGGCGGAGAATGAACAAGAGGTAATTTAACTTTAGCGGAAGCACCAAGATGACAGACAGTAAAACAAAAAAGAGAAACAGGGCTTGTATCAGACTGGAAAGAGGAGAAGAATGAAAGGGATAGAAATTAGAAAGAGAGATTTCAGAGGCTACAGCAAAAAAAAAGAAAATCCAGACAATATTTAGAAATAAAAGGCGGTAGTCATTTACAATAACTGGAAGGTGGTAAGAAAAAATAAGTAGTGAATCATGCGGCTGGAATTCTTTCCCTTGGGAGAGAAACAAGCACTCCGTTTTAATTCACACCCCTGCCCCCCAGTAACGGGGAGAAGAGGAAGGTGAAGGTTCACACAGGAGACGGATTCACTTTTAATTAAACAGAAAAAACCCAAACTAGAAATGCTCAAAAACAGAAACAAGGGTTAGGGAAAAAGGAAATGTCTGGGGAGATGAAAACTTTTCTGTCTTGATTGTGGTGATGATTAGACAACTGTAATTATTTCATGTTTGTGAAAACTCGTTGGCCTGTACACTTACAAAGAGTGAATTTTACTGCGTGTAAACTAACCTCAATAAACCTGACTCAAAAACAAAAAAGCAAAATGCCAAGGGTGCTGAGCCAGGCCTCTGGGCAGAACCACAAAGCCCGCCACATCTCGCACGCGAAGATGCAGTCTTCTTACCCTTCTCTCTCTCCGGCTGTGGGACGTCACCTTCAGGCTGGACCTGCCGCTCCGGCTCGGCTTTTCCAGGCGCTGTCTCCTCCATGAGCACTTCCTGTTTCTTCGCCTGGTTTGGGTCCTAGGGGTGATTAGGTATACATGGGTTTAGAAGTAAACTGCTGTGCAGAAAAACACTTCAATGTTTAGAAAAGGAAGCGAAGAGAAACCACAGAAGGGCAAAGTAAAGAGGCTGGAGAACCTGGAGCACATTCAGTTTCCTCCCAGCAGAGGCAGGGTGGCTGAGGTAAGAGCTTCAGCGAGAAACAACCAGACAGCAAAGAAACTGAAGCCCAGCTGAGCACCCCCCACTGCTGACATCAGGGCCACGGCTCTGGCCCAGGGCGTCCACTCCTGCTTTCCTGCAAAAGGGCACACCCGACCCTTACCTCTGGTTGTCCTGTTCCTCCCAGCTCCAGCTGCAAATCCTCCAGAAACACCACCGCGTCTTCCCCGCTCTCCGGGTGATGCTCCCGCAACCGGGCCTGGAGCTCCTCGGGCAGGATGGTCAGGAACTGCTCCAGCACCAGCAGCTCCAGGATCTGCTCCTTGGTGTGGGTCTCAGGCTGCAGCCACTGTCGGCAGAGCTCCCGGAGCCGGCTCAGCGCCTCTCGGGGTCCTGTGGTCTCTTCGTAGCGCAACTGCCTGAACTGCCTGCACAAGGGCTCCTGCCCGAAGCCTCTGCCGTTTCCCTGGAGCTTGACTCGCTGTTCCCGAGCAGAGAGGTGATCCGCCTTCACCACCCGAAGCCCCTCCTTCTTCGGGTTCACAGGAGCCAGGGAAGGAACGGTGCCCCAGGCTGTCGCCATCCCCACCTTCAGACTGCTCTATTTTGGGCAACTTTCTTTTTACTGCCTCCTCAGGGATATCCCTGAAAATGTAATAATAACAAGAATCACAGAAACAGTAATAGTAGTAGTAATGATAATAACTGCAATAGCAATACCCCTCTGTTGGATTTATACATTTCCAATAATTACTACCCATTTCTTCTCTCTCTGAAACAACCATACAAAATGAGAAGACTGCTTTACCGAAGATTGCCAGCTAACAGCATAAATAACAGATTTGAAAAATCACCATTCTGTAGCCCTTGATGAAATAACTGATTCAATCAAGGACCACAAATGGGTGAAATCACTGGATAAAAAGAAGTAAGGGGAAAGGATAATCTCAGCCTCAAAGAATCACCACACTGAGTGCTTATGAATTACAAAGGGAAGAATGGCACTATCCAGCAGTCAAATGAAACCTAGCAACACCAACAGGAAGATAACTGACCTCGTGCCTTAATCACTTATGCAGCATTTTTATTAGACGTGTTTAACACGAATCTAATAATAAGGAAACTTTCAGAGAAATCCAGAATGTCCAGAATGCAGCTTATCTACAAGAGGTATGCACTTTTCAAAACACCAATTTCATTAAAATAAAGAGTGTGGGAAAGGTATTTCTCTAGATTAAAGAGATACAGCAAAACGTAACAAGTGAAATTTGCTCTTGAGTAAAAAAAAAAAAACACAAATGTTTAGAAGAATTCAGAAATCTGAATAATATACAGGCAAACCAAATAGAGCCCGGAGGCTGTATTTGTACCTAAAGTTTTACTGGAAGCAGGGATCGAACCCGAGTCTCCCACATTGAAGGCAGACTCTTTACCCACTGAACCAACAGGGAAGATTGATTTTTTTTCTTACTGGAATACAGCCAAACCCATTTGGTAGATAGTGTTTACATCTGCTTTCAGAAATACACTAGCAGGACTGAGGACTTAAACAATGGGGCACTGATCCCTGCTCAGTCAAAAATCCAAAAATCTGTGTGCTACTTACTATCTCTGCTGCAAAAATGAACTGATAGGTGAGCGAGGCTAAGAAGCTAAACAGCTTCAACAGGATCAGGACTCAAACTAGTTCTATAGACTCCACATGATTTCTAACAAAACACAAACTTTCCCCCACTTCAAGATCTGTAAAACGAAAATACACGTACTATATGTACTGGAAAAATCCACGTATAAGTGGACCCATGTAGTTCAAGCCCTTTTGTTCAAGGATCAACTGGCATTACCACAGAGACCGTACCACCTGCAAAGCTCAGCTATTCTGGCCCTTCACAGAAGTGTGCAGATCTGAGAGTCTCCTTGGGTGGGATACAGTTTTGTGGTCATGTAAGAGAACAGCCTTATTCTCAGGAGACGGTACTTATTTTCAAATGTTGCAAGGAGAGGGGAGTCTGTGGAGAGGTATGCGGAGAAAGGGAGAGAGAAAAAACACAAACGTAGCAGGAAGTTGACAAAAGCTGCTATATGAGGGGTATATAGTATTGACCGTACTATTCTTACCACTTTTCAGTAGATTTGAAAATTCTCCAAATGTTGAGAGGGAGAAAAAAGACACAAAATGAATAAAGCTGCTTGTATGTTCATTCATTAAAGCCAATCATCAGAATTAACTAAAAGAATATAAGGATGTTCACAACTTACCTCATTTATTGTCTAGGTACCACACTCTTTTAGTTGCTGGAGATACAGAGATGAAAGAACCTCTGGCCTCTATAGCTCTCTGCCCCACAAGAAATCAAGTAAATATGCAATTACAGTTAAATGTATTAAGTGCCACGGTGAAGGCAGACACAGGATGCTAGCAGCAGAGCTCAGTGGTAAGACACTTAATCCCTATTAGCAGGTCAGAAAAGGCCTCTTGAAGGTGAGCCCTTCTGACTCTTAAAAGACATGTGAAAGTCAGACAAGAAAATATGGAAAGGGTTTTCCAGACAGAGAAAAATCTGAGCACAGAGCTGTTGGAAAACCTCACATGTTCAGGCTAGTTGTTAGTTATGGCTGAGAAAAGGCTAAGTGGGGCTGGAACCTGGGAAACACCTACATGTAAGGAAGAGAAGTAAGAAGAACAACCAGAAAGGTACAAAAACAAAGACAGGAGAATCCAAGAGACAAGGGGATCTACTTCTATAGGTATGGAGTGGTGGAAAGAGCCTGAGCCTCAGACTGGCCTGGGTTCCAATCCAATTCTGTCACTACACTGTTTACTCATTTGCAAAATGAAGATAATACCTAATTCAGAGACATGTTTTGAGGTAAATGAGATAGTATGTCATTATAAAGAATAATAACTAAATACAGCTCTTTTAGAACTTGTTTAGCAAGTTTTCTGGTCAGCTCTGGAACCACCCCACCTCCCCCCAAAAAGAATAGTAATTAACTGATTTCTAACTGGAATTTAAGGAGGCAGTCTCAAGAGTAAAATGTTTCAGTAAGATGAGTTCACCTACAACTTAACATATGCACTTATTTAAAAAAGGGGCTTCCCTGGTGGTCCAGTGATTAAGAATCTGCCTGCTCTGGGAAGATCCCACATGTCATGGGGCAACTAAGCCCATGCTCCATAACAAAGGAGCCCTCACCGGAGAGACCGTGCTCCACAACCAGAAGCCACCGCAATGAGAAGCCAGAGCATCTCAACTAAACAGTAGTCCTCACTCACAGCAACTAGAGAAAGCCTTGCATGCGGCAATGAAGACCCATCCACAGCCAAAAATTAAAACCAAAACAAACAGAAAACCCCCAAACTTTCCATGTCTCCTTGTCCCTAACTATATCGTACTCAGTAGCATCTGACTCTTTGCAACCCTATGGACTGTAGCCCACCAGGCTTCTCTGTCCATAGGATTTTCCAGGCAAGAATACTGGAGCAGGCTGCCATGTCCTCCCTCCAGAGGATCTTCCTGACCCAGGAATCAAACCTGTGTCTCCTGCATCTCCTGCACTGCAGGTGAATTCTTTACTGCTAAATCATCTGGGAAGCCCATAACTATATTAGTATTTCTAAAAAAACACACAAATAAAAACAAAAAAAAGTCAGTGACTTCCCTGACAGTCCAGCAGCCAGGACCCTTCACAACAAATGCAGGGGTCCTGAGTTCAATCCCTGGTCAGAGAACTAGATCCCACATGCCACATCTGGAAGATCCAGCATGTCAAAACTAAGACACAGCCCAGCCAAATAAATTATATTTAAATAAATATTATTTTTAAAAAAACCAAACAAACAGAGGTCACTGCAACCTCTGTAAAGGCAATTCTGGTCATTGGATAGGGAGAACATCACCCAGCCACAGGAAAATGGGGAAAATGGCACAAGTAAGCAAAAATTACTCTTTCAAAAAACAGGACATTGAAAGGAAAAGGAGAAATAGGACCTAAGCTAGCAGAGGGTAACATAGAGGACAGGTATGTTTGTAAGTTCAATTACTATCTTTATGCCAATCATTTCCTTATTTTTCCGCCCAGACCTCTCAAGAGTGACAGATTTTTCTTCTGGCTATCCAGTTCCTGGACACCTTACAAAAGCCTATCAAACGCAACTTGTCAAAATGAACTCAGAGAGGCTTCCCTGGTGGTTCAGTGGTTAAGAATCCGCCTGAAAATGCAGGAGACATGGGTTCAATCCCTGGTCTGGGAAGATCCCGCATGCCTCGGAGCAACTAAGCCTGTGTCCCACAACTGTTGCGCCTGTGCTCTGGGGCCCAGGAACAGCAACTGTTGAGCCCAAAAGCTGCACTACTGAAGCCACGTGCCCTTGAGCTTGTGCTCCATAACAAGAGAAACCACCTCAATGAGAAGCCCATGCACTGCAACAAAGAGCACCCCCCACGCCCAGCAATGAAGACCCAGCACAAAACAAAACTCAAAGAATTATACCATCAATCTTTTGAACAGGCTCTTGGTATGTGGGGACTGTTGATTTTGATGACTCTTGAATGACTCTAGAGATAAGTGAAATAGTATCTGCCAATTGTTGGCACACACTTCTGAATCAGTATGAAAAAGCCTGACTCACTTAGTGGCTGTGCCCAGTTAGGTTCCAAATTCAGTTCACTGTTTTGTAGTATCACTCCCAGCTGATACTTATTTGTCAAAACAGGATTTACAATCCAAAACGCCAATCCTGCTGCAGCTGATCCTTAAACAACAGGACAGTGAACTACATGGGTCCACTTATACATGGATTTTGTTTTTTTCAAATAGGCCCAATCTGCAATGTGGCCCTGTGAGTAGAGAGAGCTGACTGTAAAGTTATACTTGGATTTCCAACTTCACTATGGGCCGCTAACCCGTGTTGTTCAAGGGTCAAATGTATTCTTAAAAGAAGTGAAAAAAAAAAAGTGAAAAAATGTCCATGGAAGTAATGATCGTTCGCCAGAATAAAGTTGGGTATTATGATGGCGAATTTCATTTGACAACTTGACTGCACCACCGGGTACCCAGATATTTGGCCAAACATTACAGTGGGTGTTTTCAGATGAGGTTAACATTTAAATGAGTCGGCTGAGTAAAGCAGATGGCTTTCATTAATGTAAGTGGACTTCATCCAATCGGGTGAAAGCCAGGATAGAACAAAAAGGCTGACGTTCCCCCTGTGAGAGAATTCACCTGCCTGAAGCCTTCAAGCTGAGAAATCAACTTTTTTCCTGCCTTCGAGTCACCTGATCCCAATCTTGCTCTCCAGTCTGTTCTTGAGTTCCCAGCTGTAGATGCTTAAAAACCTGTCAGGTGTTTTTCCTTTGCTCAAAACCTTCCGAATACTCTTTCCAGACCAAGAAATGAACAAATTCCTCACACAATACCCACTTTTTCTACAGGCCTCCGCCCACCCCCATCTCTCTGACAGCATTTTCTACACTTTCCCCTTGTTCACTGTGCTCCAACCACTCTGGGCTCCCAGCTACTCCTCGAGTATAAGGAAGCTCCTGCTTTAGCGCCTTTGCATTTGCTGTTGCTCCTTACTAGAAGATTCGTGTCCGCAAAGGGCACGTAGGTTTTTTTAAACCTCCCTCAGGCTTTTGCTCAGAAGTCACCTTCTAAGGCTTAACTTTATACATATTTAAAATTGAGCTCAATGGATAAATACACACACACACACACACACACACACACACACAGAGAAGATTGTGCCTCTATACAAGAACCACAGCATCAGTCCTCTCCTAGGCCCCAAGATTGACATCTCCTGCCCTCCCCCGCTCAGAGTCCACACGTTTCCTCCATCGGGTAAGGCTTCTCCGCACCCCCAAGGAGTCAGCTGCTCCCCAGCCCACGGGCCGCAGTTATTCCCCATACTGGAGCACAATCACCACTCACCCCTCCAAGGACCCACGGGAAAAGCCAAAAGCTTTCAAACAGCTTGTTAGCTAGCTCTTTACTGAGCAGCCGCTCTCGCTCCGCGGCGCACTTGACTGTCGCTCTAGGAACGCTGGAGGACTGCGGCTCGATGGCCTCCTGCTCCGGCCTCCTGCCCCCGCCTCCCAGGAGGAGGCCAAATTCAGGCTGGTTGGGTTGAGCGCTCTAGGAGTCCAGAGGTTGGGAGGGGTGCCCCGAGGCTACGAAGGGCCTCCAGGTAGGTTTTTAGGTTTCTTAAAATTTTAACCCGAAATTTATTTCATTCATGTAGATGACACGCAAATTCGTGAAACCTTGCGTGTTTTGGGGCTTTCCAGGTTGCCCTCGGTTCAGTTCAGTCCCTCAGTCGTGTCCAATTCTTTGTGACCCCATGGACTGCTGCACCCAGGCTTCCCTATCCATCACCAACCCCTTGCTAATGCAGGAGACTTTAGAGACCCAAGTTTGATCCTTAGGTTGGGAAGATCCTCTGGAGTAGAAAATGGCAACCCACTCCACTATGCTTGCCTGGGAAATCCCATGGACAGCGGAACCTGGTGGCCCTTAGACCATGGGGTTGCAAAGAGTTGGACATGACTGAGCACACATACACACGCACAGAAACAGGCCAGCTCACTTTAGTGTTATCACAGCTGGTATTCTTTGCTTACTCACGTAATTAAGACACGGACACATATTTTACCATTCTCCCCAATTAAAAAAGTTATCAAATACAGTGGCAAAAATAAATGTAAAAGTTTTTAAGTTGAACATGTATGTATGTACATATGCAAATATACAATGAATGTATATTTGCAAGGTTTAAGGTAACAAAAAATTAAGGAATGTTACCAAATGCAAGGTTGTGTGCCTGATGCAGTAGGCCAAAGAAATTAAAATGTGGGCGTTTTGGAGCAGAGAGGTTTATTGAGGACCAAGCAAGGAAAACTCTTGGTGTGTGCTCAAAAATACCCCCAGTTCCTCAAAGGGTTTCACCAAAGCATTTTTTAAAAGTCAGGTGAGGGAGGCAGGGTTGTCAGGAAACTGATCAGCTCTTGCACAGTTCTCTGATTGGTTGGTGTTGAGGTAACAGAGCGGTTAACATCATTACTACTTAATTATTAGTTGTTCAGTTGTGTCCAAGTCTTTGCAACCCTATGGACTGTAGCTTGCCAGGCTCCTCTGTCCATAAAATTCTCCAGGCAAGAATAACTGGAGTGGGTAGCCATACCCTTCTCCAGGGAGTCTACCCGATCCAGGGATCCAAACCCGGTCTCCTGCGTTGCAGGCAGGTCCTTTACCCAGGCAAATAAGGCAGTCTGAGTCACCTTTATCGGTACTTAGGGCCTGTAGGTCTAGAGGCATGATCATCAAGTATTGCAGCTCTTCCCTTTGGTGGTAATGTTAGCATCTGTAGAACAACCCAGGAGAGTGCATCAGATACTATTATCTATGTACATCAGAGAGGAGCTACAGTAGAAGATAGGAGGGAGGTATCTGTACCAGGAAGATCCCATAGGGTCCTCCTCAATTACAGTCTATTACTACGGGAGAGAATAAATCAACCATTATTCTCTGCAAAGTATGTGAGGGGTAGGGGTGGGGGATAGGGTGGTGTCACTACCAAGATAAATTGTGCCAAAGAAAACAGAAGTATTCCCTCTTTTGCCCACATCATCACAAACTGTATTTTTATTATCTGTGAATAAAATAAACCCTTAAAAAAATCTGAACAAACTGGTTTAATCAGTTGGTAATTTTGAAATAAATATCTTACTAACCATTGTTTTATCACACAATTCACATTGTTTCAAGCCTGAAATGATCATAACAGAAAAAAAATTCCATTATCAGGAGAGTTCTTTTTCCCCTTGTGTGTCAAAAACTTAAAACTATCTTTTAACTCTAAAAAAAGTTAAAGTAAAATCTATATAAAAACTTTTCCTTAGGCTCACAAATCCAATCAATGCTAATATTTTACTAATTAAAAGTTAGTAATTCTGTCCTGAAGGGAAAATACGTATCTCATTTTTTTAAAGAGATTTCCCTCAAAAAAATTATACAAGAGGTAAACATAAATTTCAATTTTAAAAGGAAGCAAATATATCCTAATTCACTTATTCCCACTTTCAAACTCCCTACCATGGTTGGCTTAAATGTCACTCATATTATCAAGGCTGAGATTATTGTCATTGCATTGGATATCCCATGAAAATAAAAACACAATGAAGCTAGACAAGGAAGGGCTTTTTAACAAGAATTCAAGGTGTGCATTTTTAAATAGGCTGTATTTTTTGGAAGTGGTACAGGTAGATAAAGTGAGAATAAATCAAAATACCATTTTTACCAAAACAGAGCTACATTTCACTAATAAAACAAATCAATTTTTGAACTTGAGATTTTCATTTTCTAAGATTATCCTCATTTCTGTAAACAAAATGGTCATCTGTATGTTTCCATCAGGTCCAGGTCCATGATATTTAAAATAAAAGCTTCCTTTTCTATATGATCAGTAGAGGCACTACTGCATTATAGCCATGAGATACAAGTATCTTTTTGTAATGATTCTTTCCACTATTCTCTCTGCTTCCACCCATACTCATTCATTACTTTGAATTATGACATAGAAAAATGTGTAGTCAATCATTGTTCTAAACAATCAAAAACTTCCAGATGAATTTAATAAACTTAACTCAATAGTTTAGTTCTAGGAAATCCATAACTTTAAAACCAGCATATTAATAGACTAATAACTACAAATGCTAAAAAGTCATTTAGTAAAATTCAGCAAACATTTCTGAATAAATGGGGAAACTCCTAATAAAATAGGAATAGATGGATACTTCCTTTATATGGAAAAACACACACATACACATATCTCAAACCAAAAAACCTCCCTCATGCTTGATAGTGAAACTTCGTAAGTATCTTCATAAAAATGCAGCTGAATTTATTAGGTTAAGAGCAAAGAAATGAGGAATTCCCAAGGGATCCAGGGGTCAGGACACCAGGTTTCCAGCGCAGAGGGAAATCAGATCCTGCATGCAGCTTGGTGCAGCCAAAAGAGAGACAGAAGTCCACCAACCTTACCTTGGTTTACTTAGGAGCCACAGTTTCTGAGCTGCATCTTTTCCTCACGTGAGAAAGACAATTCACTGAATAGCTACTAGAGTTTTTAGGACTTAACAGGCAACATGATCAAGTGTTTCCCAAAAAAGCAATTCAAAAGTCAAATAAGGGGAAGTATCTTCAAGTTTTGTTAATAACAAACTGATTTATTTATTTGAAGAGTTCTTATGATCAATAAGAAAAACATCAGAAACTCAGTAGGAAAATACACAAATATATAATGTGGATAATTCACACACACACAAAAGAATTACAATTATTATACATACTCAACCATATTCTTAAATAAAAATGAAATGCATTTTTCACCTATCAGACTGGGAAAGATTCAGATTCAAAAGGTTTAGAAATACAATATTGGCAGGTGAGTCTGTAAACCAGTGCATCCTCTTTGGAATGCAATGTTAAACAATGGCTATTAAAAGCACTTTGAGGTTAAATGTAATACTCTTAGACTTTGACCACTCTATCAAAAACGTCCACCATTTCTGGCTCTAGCCTCTTCTTTTCTTCATAGCATACTACAATTTATAATTATTTGTCTGTTAACTATTTAAAGTCTGTCTCCCCAGTTAGCATGTAAAATTCTATGATGGCAGGTATCAAGCCTAATTTGCTTTTTGGTTTATCCCTAGTATCTGCTATATTGCCTAGTACATGGAAAACACTTAAATTAGTAAATACCTTCCCTTTGATCCAATAATTCCACTTATAAGTGGCCATTTTTAGATGACACAAAGCATTCTTTTTCACCCAATAATTAATTCTATTTTTAGATGAGCACGCTACAGATGATAACACTCATATATCCACAAAGATTTTCACTACAAGTATTGTATAATAGCAAAATACAAAAAACATCTTAAACATCAGATATAATATGGTTCACCCATACATTATAATACTATAAAGTCATTAAAAATATATATTTATATGGATTGATATAAAACATCTCCAAGCTATGTATAGATTCTTCTGTATAGTGTGGTATAAATGGAAATATACATACCTAACAAGAGGGCTTTCACCCAACTCTCTTTGGGAAAATCTCAAGCTAGTGTGATCCAGTGTCTGTCAAGTTACATACTGGCGTAAAAGTGCCTTTCTACATAAACTCTGCCCTGCCAGATTCTAGAGCCACATCCTTTCACTTTCAGTTCTGTGGGCTTCCCAGGGTCTTGAGGTTTGAAAAGGGGCTTACCAAATTAGTTTTCATTTGTACTGAAGTCTGAGTTTGCTCAGATATCACTAGATGACAATAAAGGTCTTATCATAGACCACAAGTGGAGCTCACTCTAAATGTCTTTTCCAGCACTGGTGCTAGCCAGTCTCTCAGCATTAACTCTCTTGTACACGTGGTCCTTCCTGATCTGATCTTTTCATGAGCTCTACCAACCATCTCTTTATACCTCCTCCTTTTGCTCCTCCTCCTCTAGCTGGCACCTAATCTACTCCTTGGAATACCCAAGTACTCTAGATTGTTATCTTTTTAATGTCTATTTTTATGGGTAAACCCTAGGACTCTTTCAATCAGGTCCTTGGCTTCTGATAGTCAAAGCCAAGTTTTTCAAGAAAATGTTGGCTTTCAGCGCATGTACATTTTTTTAAAAAGTCATTCAGAACTGTAGTGGGTTGGCTGCCTACCCCTGCCTTCCTAACATTACTCTAATATGGATACTCAGGTATCCATTCCTTGCTCACAAAGCCCATAAGGTGAGCAACTTGGCAGATCAGGAGTAAGTCATTATATTTCTGGGGCAATGATATATTTGGAAGGATGGGGGGAGGGTTGGGGGGGAGGGAGGTCTGGGGGAAGCATGTGACCTAAGCTAATCTAATTAGGCTTAGTCTCAGTAGTCTTATTTGGAATGCCAAGACAAAAATTTTCCTTCTCTCTCCATAGGTGGACCAGGAAATACATAACCAAACTCAGGAGCTTTGGCAGCCTATTATTTAAGGGAAACAAGTTAGAAGAGGAAAATGAGCCAATAAAACTAACTTTTAATTCTATTAAATGCAAACTAGAAATACACACTCAATTGAATCCTTTGTTCTTTCTGGAGTTCTGTTTTCCCTGAGTAATGAAATGGCTCCATGAGGAAATGAAGCCCTGGAAGAAAGAAAAGTCAGAGCAACAGGGAAAACACCACCACCACCTTAGGTTAAAGCTCCAACTTTTGTCCTGCAATACACATGCTTGTGCATAAACAGGACTCATGGATAGATAAAGAAAATACCAAAAAGAGATTTCTTAGGAGGGAAGGATTAGGGGTGGGAGTAGAAGACTCACATTTTACTGGCTCTCCTCCTGTAGTGTTTGAATATTTTTAAAAACACGTACACATATTACTTTTACAGTCAAAGTTAACAAAATAAATTGTTAAATAAATCTCAAAAAGCAGCTTTTTCTCAAGGAACTTACAGTTGGTACAGCAGCACCATAAAACCTTTTAATTTTGGTCATATAAAATTGTTCAAAGTCCTGCTATGGGACAAAAGTCCTTATTTATCATCTTTCCCTTTTGTCTTTCGGTACACCATCTCTCGGAAACTAGCTAGAATCTTATTCTCTCTCTTCCGTCTCTCTTCTTGGTTAAAGGATGCAAGGGCTCTCTTCTCATCAGCACTATAGATCTGATTCTCTTTACGCAGGCGCACAGCCTCCATTCTGCGATGCCTGCTACCACTCATAACATAACCTGAGCATTCAAAAGAAGCAATCTCTTCACTTGTCAACCCAATTTCACCTCTTCGTGGGATACGCTTTCCGGCTTTTACATACTCAGCCATAGCTGCACCTTCACCTGGAAGCAGAGCATGGCCATAGTTCAAAGGTTTCTCATCTTGAGAGGTGTGTATAATAGGTGCCTCGGGACCTATCAGGTCCATGTTATCTGCAATCTTTGACTGCTCAATCCAGATGTCTTCTGGCAACTCCCCTTCTGAATCCTTATAGCTTGAGTCACTGGATTCTTTTTTAGTCTTTTTAGTCTTCTTTTTCTTGGGCTTTTTAGCTCTGCGTTTCTTTTTCTTCTTGAGTTTTTTTGCTCTCTTTTTATCATCATCAGAGCTAGAATTAGTGTCGGAGTCCGAATCACTGTCAGTATTATCAGAATATGTCTTATGTTTTCTTTTGGACTTTTTCTTTCTTTTCTTTTTCTTTTTTGAACGACTGGCCTTTTTCCTTTTTTCTTCGGAGCTGGAATCTGAACTGCTGCTCTTCTTGGTCTTTACCTCTTCATCCTCTACCGGGGTGTGTTCATCAGAATCTGGCTCAGGAAACTTTGGAGACAGCCCCCATACCTCAGGAGCTCCCAACTCCCCAATCCTTTCTCTCTCTTTCAGCCGCCTCTGGCGATAGCTCTCCTCCTTCTCTTTCTCACAGTCCTCCGCCCATTGCCGGTCGCCCACATAGTGGTGTTGATAGTAACGGTACCCTCCACAGGAGAAAGAAGATGATGAGAAGTCGTAGTTGCGGAGCCCGGGGGGCCGCTCTCGAGACCCAGGGCGGCTAAAGGGAGCACCCGAACCACTCCACGAAGGCCTGAGGCCTTCGCGGTCGCGGGAGTGAGTACGGCTGCCCCACGGGGAGTGTCTGACCTGCGCGGATGGCGGGCTCTCGGACGAGCTGCGTCGCTGTCTCTCAGAGCCCGGAGTGTCCTCTGGGTAGCTGGACTGGGACACAGGCGCCGTGGGCTGGTTTTTCATACTGGCGGTTACTACAGGGCTCCTGACTGGCCGGCAATTCTCGCCCACGCAGGCGCGCTAGCAACGTTCCGGCGCACGACTTCCGCTTCCGGCGGTTGCCAGGCGAAGATCTTATCCGCGTGTGGGCTGTGAGGTCCCTCTTTAGGTGAGGCTGCAAGGAGGCCTCTTCTGGAGAGCGGATAAAGGGGGCGTGGCAGCGCCTGCTTGGGGGATTTACATTCCCCAAGTTGAGCCCCGTGGGAATATTTAGAAGAGGAATTCGCGTCAGTGAATCCGTTTACTGTTCAAACACTCCGTTCTCAACCTGGTTATTTGCCTTTAAGCATCTTGACACCATTCTCTTCTACCATTCTCACTCAGGGTCTCTTTATCTTTACCCCTTGGTGCAGGTTCCCTACTTCTACCACTCCTGTTGTTTACCCCTTAAAAAGGACCTCGTCCACTATTTTCATAGCAGAGATACGTTTTTTAATGACTACCAAGTCCCACTTGGAAGCAAAACCCAGAACTTCTTTTAAAATAAAAATTTGAGCTCGGCCTGAGTTAAGTGAAGACTGGAGTTATAATTTGTATTCTTAAATTCACAGAAACACAGGGAGGGATCCAACTCAGTCCAGATTGTCTCTTTACCTAGATGATCTCTTCAGAAACTGTGGTTTGGGAATCACACTCTGCATGCGCTCTGTTCGCTCTTTAAAATGGCAAATATTTCATGCAAAAGATTGTTACCCCGATCTTAAAATGTGTATAGACACTACCGTCATCTTGGTTCTCTATAGTTAAGTTGACCTGCTCAGTTAGCAGACTTGGAATGTGACAGGGAAGCTAAGGCAGAGCTTAGGAATGGTGTTTTCCTGATGCTGGGGTCAACGAATAAAAGGGAGAAATTAAACAGAACCAAGTTAGGTTATTTGATCCAAGTAGAATTTTAGTAATGTGATTTTAGGGGATAAGGACTGGCATGGTGCTCTGCCATAAAATATGCTTCCTTCAGTTCAGTCGCTCAATTGTGTCCAACTCTGTGACCCCATGGACTGCAGCACACCAGGCTTCCCTGTCCTTCACCAGCTCCCGGAGCTTGCTCAAACTCATGTCCATTAACTCCGTGATGCTATCCAACCATCTCATTCTCTGTCATCCCCTTCTCCTCCCACCTTCAATCATTCCCAGCATCAGGGTCTTTTCCAAGGAATCAGTTCTTTGCATCAGGTGGCCAAAGTATTGGAGTTTCAGCTTCAGCATCAGTCCCTTCCAACGAATATTCAGGACTGATTTCCTTTAGGATTAACTGGTTTGATTTCCTTGCAGTTCAAGGGACTCTATGCTTCCTTAGAAACTGGCAAATAGGAGAGAGTATTACAAATGAATGGTCACATGTATGGTGAAAATATCACAATGGATAAGGTAAGTATTATAGATTATCTGTAAGCAAATATGTCTCAGCCCCACACCTGTCTGGGCTTCCCTTGTGGCTCAGCTGGTAAAGAATCCACCGGCAATTCGAGAGACCTGGGTTCGATCCCTGGGTTGGGAAGATCCCCTGGAGAAGGGAAAGGCTACCCACTTCAGTATTCTGGCCTGGAGAATTCCATGGACTTTAGTCCATGGGGTCACAAAGAGTCGGACACGACTGAGCAATTTTCACTTTCACCACACCAGTCCTATACCCTGAACTGTAGTGCATCAGAAAGGCTACAAATTCCATTTCCCAGACTCCCAATGCTGATGGGAAGAATTGGAGAACAGAGGGGAGGAAATGGTTCAAAGTTTTAACACTTTAGTTAATACCTGAAAGTATAGTTATTTTCTAACAGCCTGGAAATTATGCAGTGTTTTAGCTGTTTAAGAATTCACTGAGGCTAAAGGAATAATCACAATGATTTATTACTCTTATACAAATAAGTTACATTAGGATTGCTCAGATTTTTTTCCTAAACCCTCAAAAATTTGAAGTAGCTTAGAAATTGGAATAAAAACAGGAATTTGGAAAGTTGTGCATAGGATTTTGGATGACAACTCAATTCCTAATAAACAAAATACATGGAACAGGCAAGAATATATCATAATGTTCAGTCATTAACTGGGAAAAGAGACCAGGAATGCTTGCTGTGCTCAAATTCCAAGGTCTTAGTTGATGCAGTAAACAGAAAGGAATTGCTAATGCCATAGATAAAGTGAGAAATGTGAGTAGATGCAAAAATAAAAGGATATTTCTACAAATAATATACTAACAAAAAAGTTCACAGGAAAATAATCATCCCCAAGTATTTCTGTAGTAGCAACTCCATTTGAAACATTCAAAATAGGTACCACATCTATAGAGCTAACTGAAAAAAAGTTTCCTCATTTGAATCCATCAGATCCAGTTTTAACTATCACAAGGAATAACAAAAGACAGACTTAAAAGTGTGTTTAGAGAAATGTAGGTAAATTAAGTTTACTGAGTGGTTAAAGTTCTCATTATGAATAACTGAGATGCAACCATACAGATGGCTTGGGACATCATTACAAGATAAGATCAACACTGTTATATACTAGTGTTAGGACACTTTTTTTAAAGATATCCTTTACTATTAAACAATTGTCATTCCAATATATAGAGGTTTCAGCTAACAGAGCATTTAATCTCCATTTCTCTATCAATGTTATTGTTTTCAGATTATTCACCAGCACTTCTTTTTTTAGGACAGATCCTCACAATTCTGTGAGGTAAGTTGGCACTCTATGTATTTTTTCCTTAAAGAAGGCAGAGAAACAGAACCTTTTGTAGGATTACACACATATTTACCAAAATGAAGACCATGTCTAGGGGACTTCACTGGTGGTCCAGTGGCTAAGATGCCAAGCTCCTGATGCAGGGGGCCCAGCTTTAATCCCTGGTCAGGGAACAAGATCCCACATGCCATAACTAAGACTTGGTCCAGCCAAGTAAATCAATTTAAAAATTAAGAACACATCTAGGAGGGCTATTCATCAAAAATCTTTTTTCATTGTAACTACTCATTTTACCCAAGTTAAAAAAAGATAGTTATAATTAGTTACTTATTCATGAAATGGAAGAAAAAATAAAATGGTAGATTTCAGCATTGCTTCAGTTGGAGAAGTGAAGTAGAATGGCCAGCTGACACTAAAATTCCTAGAAACAATTTTTAAAAACACGAAAAGTGGTATTTTATTCCACTTTATATACTGATTATGTCTTAACTAAGTAGCTTCTTTTACTGGATCTAATTTTCATCTGAAAATAATTTTTTGACCATCCTTTTAAACAGGCTAGAGTTAAAACCCATTTTATAACTTACAAACACACATCTGTTATATATGAAAGTGGGATGTCTAAAAGCCTATCAGAAAAATAATTTTTAATCTGAAATCATACAATAGTGCCAGACAGCTGCCTAAATATTTTTTATCATAAAAATGTCAGTGTTGCTGAATAAAATTTCAACCCCTTGCTCTGGCACTGAAGGCCCTTACAATGCACTACTTCTTCAAACTTGCCTTAGTTACTAAATCTGATAACTCCTTTAGTCTCTGCAGCTAATGTATCACCCTGTTGATGTAATAAAAATAGCACACAGCAGAGGTAACATTTCTCTCCTCTGAACTTTGACAGTATTCAGGTCATCATTCACAAGTCACCGATCAGGATATTGCCTTATTTAAAAAACATTTTTTTTTTTTTTTTTTTTGTTCCATGGCTGATTCATGTCAATGTATGGCAAAAACCACTACAATATTGTAAAGTAATTAGCCTCCAACTAATAAAAATAAATGAAAAAATAAAAACTAAATTATACTCCAATGAGGGAATAATGAAGGCAATGAAAGACCCAAGGGAAGTGATACTGGGAGAGGCCTACAGTTTGCAAAGTCCCTAGTCAGCCTGGGGTTCTTCAGAGAAGGAATCCAGCAAGGGACTGGAGAACAGAAAACATTCTGCTGGTGACTGAACAAAACTGGTCCAGGATTTCATCAAAGCAGAATCCATTCTTGGCATAACCTGGTAAAGCTGGAAGCTGGGGAGAGGGCACTCGCACCTATGAAGATGGTATTGGTCTTTAAAGAACTTCACAGAAGGTGATCTGAGTGAAAACAGGAGATACCAAGAAATTCTTATTGACAGTCTTGACTTCACAGGTTGATACTTTGGAAATTGTGGAATCATTTCTGTCAGATCCCAGGACTCCCAATGTGTTTCCAAAAAGATACATTTTCTCCTACCGCCCATATTCAGGTCTCTATCATTGTTGGCTGCCTCTGACCCAGTCTTCCTCTCCCCAACCACAGGGAAGTTTTGAAAACATGAATGACAGTTGTTATAAATATCTGGTGTGAATCCTCTAGCCTGGAAGAAGTTTAAGCCTAGCTGGCATAAGCCTTGATGCACTGTGGGCTCTAAGTTGGGAGAGAGGGATATCAATGGTGTCTTGGCACTTGGTTAGGTCCAAGATAACCAAAAAGTGAGAAACAAGCTGTTGAGCATCATAGGATTTATATCAAGATACATAACCATTTTGATCTGACTTGATCAATTGTTTTTTATTTACCTGAATGTGAAAGGTTTTCCCTAAAGAATAGCACAATTAATATGAAACTAATGTCGTTAACGCTGACTACAGACTGGAGTTGTATGGATGCAACAGTCTCACAATGTCTTAATGATAAAGAAGCTGTTTAAGGCACTCTTACTATAACTCCTATGCTGAGGAAGAAATATGGATTCCTCTACCCCAACTCTCAGATGGTAAAGAATCTGCCTCCAATACAGGAGACCCAGGTTTGATCCCTTCGTTGGGAAGATCCCCTGGAGAAGGGAATGGCAACCCACTCCAGTATTCTTGCCTGGAGAATCCCATGGGCAGTGGAGCCTGGCAGGCTACAGTCCATAGTGTCACAAAGAGTCTGACATGACTGAGTGACTCACACACACACACACTACCCCAACTCTGACAATCTTATGTACTTGGCAATAAATATACTAGATTGACCCAGAATCTAGACTCTCAGAGAATTAGACAAGCACAAGTGGCCTTAAAAAGTCATCAGGAATCCAGACATTAGATTTCTAGAGCTATGAAGGTCATTTCACTGGTATATTTAATAAATGTTTATAGCACCTGTATACAAGGCACAGTGGGGTGGGGATAAGACATCACTGATCTAACCAACAGGTGAGGGATTCATTATAGGCAGAATGAACAGAAACACCAGCCCCCCAAATAAGAAAGTCATCCACCCAGAAGACATCATAAATGCTGGCTGAGAGTGATTAATTAGACAGCCTGGAAGTCTGTTTAAGTCTAAAAGGTGAGAACTATTTCAGGTTCAACCTCTTCCAGACAATGCTCCCATAGCTTCCTATCAAACAAGTTTTGTTTTTTTTTTTTTCCCCAGTCACCTTCTAGGTTGTATAAGATAATTCATCTCAACCAGACTCTATTTTCTAACAAACACCTGATGATATGTGGTGGGAAATAAAGTTCAGCTCACAGTTTTCTAGTCAGCAAGGGTCCCAGGGTGGCTTCAGTTCAATGAGGAAGGAACATCAACTCTGGCATGTAAGCCATCCGTCACGGAGATAGAATTTTTTTTCCAACGTGGCTTCTCTGATGTTGAATAAGGTATGAAGTTCGGGTGAAGCCTTTTCCACATGTATCACACTGAAAGGGCTTCTCACCCGTGTGGATTTTTTGATGCTCAATAAGGCTTCTATTCCTAGTGAAACTTCTCTCACACTCATTACATTTATAAGACACAGGAGTCTCAACATTTTCCCACTGGCTTTCCTTCCTCCCCTGACTCTCCCAGGTCTGTCCAGGGTCAGGATTCTGTAGGTTTTTATTGCCATGGATCCTCTGATGTCTCAGAAGATGTGAATTCCGCCTAAAGGCTTTACCACACATGCTGCACTGGTAGGGCTTCTCCCCGGTATGGATTTTGTGATGCTCTAGGAGGCTGCAGCTCTGGCTAAATGTTTTCCCACAGTCATCACACTCGTAGGGCTTCTCCCCAGTGTGAGTTCTCTGGTGTTTGATAAGGTTTGAACTGTGACTGAAGACCTTGCCACATTCTTCACATTCATATGGCTTCTCACCAGTGTGAACTCTCTGATGAATGACGAGAGCAGAGCTTCCAATGAAGGTCTTGCCACAGTCCTCACATTCATAGGGTTTCTCCCCAGTGTGGATTCTCCTGTGCTTAGTCAGGCCTGAACTCTGAGCAAAAGTCTTTCCACATTCATGGCAATAGTGCCGCCTGTTTCCTGCAGCACTTTTCTGCTTTCTTTGTAACTGGCCCTCCTGTTCACCAGCTTCTGCACATGCAGGAATCTGGCCAGTGGCTTCACCCAGGTGGCGTGGTATCTGCCCAGGCTCCTGTGTTGGACGATCCTCATCTGGAGGCAGCTCTCTGATCTTTGGTTGCACCACACCACCTGAAGAACAAACGGCCAGCAACTGTCAGGTATGTCCTGCCACAGAGGAAAGCTTTGTGATGAGTCCCAGGGAGGCAAGAATTACAGAGGTCTGTATATGGCAAAGATGAGGATGTAAGTATTAGAATACAGGTGGGAATAAAGGGGGAGAACGAGGATGCTGGGGAGGAGGGAGTCCTGAGAATGAGAACGGGGCTCTTGGAAGAAGGGTACAACCTGGGAAAGGAGAGATTAGAGGGAAGGTGGTGAGAAATACTGAAGACTGTGCTGGGGATACATGCAGAGGCTCTAAATTCTGAGAAAGTAAGGCAGGGCCATGTGCTTGGGATTAGATACTAAAAGGGCTGAGCAGAGGGTGACAGTAAACAAGGCAAGTAAAAGAATTTCTGAAATGTTCTGTGAGAAATAGGGAAAGCAGGAACTCAGAATTCAATGACCACTGAAAGGTGCGGTCATTTCTGGCTGGAACTCAGGCAGAAGCAGGGTCCTCCAAATAAAACAGGCATCAGTGCTGGGAGATCTGAGCTGGAGCCCCCACTGTGCTGCCAGTGAGCTGTGTGAACTCAGACAAGCCAGGCAATCTTGTGTGTCTCTGCACCGCATCCTCATCTTTAAGGCCAGGCTCTGCAGTCAGTCTCCAGATCACTTCTAAGCTCTCGCCCTATGGTTCCTCAGCCCATTTCCTGAAGAGACCCCTCAGCTCTCTTTTCCTGTCAGGGCTAGCAACAGGAGGGAAAGGGAAGAAATCAGCATTTACTGAGCATCTCCTGTGAGCTAGATCTAAACTAGAGGCTGTACCTACTTGATCCCACCTAAACTGACCAGCCACTGGCAGTACAGATAAAAAAGCAAGGCTCATGGACTTCTCTAGCGGTTCAGTGGCTAGGGCTCTGTGCTCCCAATGCTGGGGGCCTGGGTTGAGTCTCTGGTCAGGGAACTAGATCCCACATGCCCTAAGAGTTCCCATGCTGCAACTAAAGACTTCACATGCTGCAACTAAGGATCCCACATGCCACAAAAAAGACTAGGCACAGCCTAATATTAATAAATAAATACATAATTTTTTTTTAAAAAGCAAGGCTCATTGGAAAAGACCCTGATGCTGGGAAGGATTGGGGGCAGGAGGAGAAGGGGACAACAGAGGATGAGATGGCTGGATGGCATCACCGACTCGATGGACATGAGTTTGAGTAAACTCTGGGAGTTCGTGATGGACAGGGAGGCCTGGCGTGCTGTGATTCATGGGGTCACAAAGAGTCGGACACGACTGAGCGACTGAACTGAACTGAACTGAAGGCTCAGAAGGATTAATAAACTAGTCACATAGCTAGTTAGTAGTTGGGATTCAGATGTGGTGGTTCTAATGCCAAACATAATTCAAACAGCTTCTAATAGCCTAGTAGATGCTAATATACAAAGGAAGTCAGGAAATTTTAGAAGAAACCAATGCCCATCAGTCTTACCCAAGGAGGTCAGGCTGCCACAGTTCTCCTGCCTTTTATCTCCATACAAGTTCACCTGAGATGAATCCAGCTGTGTCCATCCAGGGGAGACAGTCAGGGCCACATCTTCCATTTTAAATGGCCCCTAAAACAATATGTAATCCTACTTAGTTTCACTTGCCCAAAATCACTCCCTAAGCAGTCAAACTGAGTACAAGTCAGTCAGACAGAGAAAGACAAACATCATATGATGTTGCTTATATGTGGAATCTTTAAAAAGGGTACAGATGAACTTATCAGAAATAGAATTACAGATGCAGAAAACACACAATTACCAGGGGATAAGAGGTAAGAAAGGATAAATTGGAAGATTGGGATTGACATATATACACTACTGTATATAAAATAGATAACTAGTAAGGACCTACTTTATAGCATAGGGAACTCTACTCAATACTCTGCAATGGCTTACATGGGAAAAGAATCTAAAAAGAGTGGAGAGGGATGTCTTTGATGGTCCAGTGTTGAGACTCCACACTTTCACTGCAGGTATGATCCCTGGTCAGGGAACTAAAGTTCCATATGCTGTGTGGTGCAGCCAAAATATAAATTAATTTTTAAAAAAGAGTGGATATATGTATATGTATAACTGATTCACTTTGCTGTATACCTGAAACATATTATAAATCAACTATGCTCCAGTAAAAATTAAAAAAAAAACCACACAACTGGGTACATGTAATGAAGGAACATTCACTTTACATGGGCTGTTTATAAAAAAACAAATATGGTACACTTATGCCTACTTAACCTGTCTCTAATAATATCTTCATCAAAAAAATAACCATAAAGGAAAGAAATACACACATTACAATAAGTACTTTCACATAAATATCTAAAAATCCAGAAAGTGAAAGGTTTGGAAAGTAAGGACCAATGCAGTGAAAGGAGTGGAACCATATCCAAACTTTTCAAAATATATGTGATGTGCTTTGGCAAACCAGGGATGGGGGCTTATTTATAGCAATGATTTTAAAATACAATGAAATCTAGGTCTGAGGTGAGGGAAAATAGATTCTACAGAGCCTCAAATACTGAGGTCTTCAAGCAGGACATGAAAGACTGGGTCAGAAATTAAAATCCGGGTTAAGAAAATGCTGTTCAATATCTTGGGCTAAAAGCATACACCTTATGTGTTCCTTTAAGTCCCTAGGGGACACAGCATGATTTTATATCCCTCACTAGCAGCACAGTTTTTGATACTTAAAAAAAAAAAAACCAAATTACCATCACAACAAAATCTTCAGTTTGTATTTGCTAAATTTCCCTTGAAGAAAATCTTGTTGATGAAAGAGTTGACCAAACAGATGGGGTAGGAAGAACCGAGAAGCACAGACATTCCCTCAGCTAGGAGTGAAACAGAAAAATCCTCTTAAGTGAACACCAAAATAATGACACGGCAATCTTGGAATAGATGAGAAAACTCAAACTCCAGATGCATATAGGATGAGGGTGGAGGAGGAATGGGGAGAAAGAGATCTACTGGGGAGCCCATCAGTAGTGAAGGGTGCTGGGTGCAGGGGGAGGGAGAGGGGCTCCAGCTCACCTGGGACCCTGGGGTGAACCTGGTGGCTACCGCGGCGGCATCTTCTCTGCAGCGCCCCCCAGGGGCAAGCCTTGGAACCTGGAGAACTGAGAAGGAAAGCACTCTGGATGAGATCTACTCTGGCATTCAGCCTTCCTGCTGCGTGGAATCCAAGTTCAAAAACTGCATAAATAAATTGCTACAAAGAAGTTTATACAGCATGTGTGCCTTTCCAAAATTCCTGATCCTGGCCAGCTCAAATCCTTAGACCTAGAGATGTGGTGTGCTCCACAGAGGCACAAGGCAGATCCTTGGTAAGAAATGGAAGCAGCATAGACAAAACAAAGCATTCCATCTAAAGAGTTTTTCATCTTGAACATTCTGGAAAGAGTGGAAAAGAGGATATTTGTTCTTGCTAAAATTTATTTAGAAGCTTAGAGTGCTTTTTTCTTTAGTTCTATTATAAAAGACTAAGAAGAGTCAGATTAGCCTGAGCCCAGAAAGAAGGAAACAGGAATCTGCTTATATAGAACTTGCTCAGATTCAAGAAAAGTAAAGGGGAACTTCAGGTTTTCCTATAAAAGGTGAACTTGGCAGGAGGCAGAAAATAAGTTAGGTTAGGCTAGGACCTCTGATGAGAAATAAAGATTTCATGTTGGCTGGCATGTCCCAGTGTTGTTTGTCTTGGAAATCTGCCCAAATATTCACAGCACATGGGGAACACTCAGGAAAATATAGCAGTTTCCTCTGAGTGATTTTTCACCCCGTTCTAGTGACAGGTTTTGAAGATTTACACTCTTTGATTTGCACAAGTCCTACAATTCTGGAATATTCTAACAGGCTTTATGCATTCTGTCTTATGTTCCTCTTAGCACTCACCAATATCTGAAAGTGTATTGTTAATTTATTTGCTATTCTCCTTACTAGAATGTAAGCTCCACTGGAGGAAGAAATCTATGCTATGGACCATGTTATTCCTGATACCCACAACACCAACACTGGCTACCACATAGGGAGCCACCAGAAATATATGTTGAATGAATGGAGATAACTGTGTTGCTAAAAAAAAAAAAACAACTCCTTCCAAACACCAATTTTAATAAAGTCTTATTTATCATGCCCAGGTTTGGTTAGGAAAGCTTTCCACTATTGTTTGAAATCTCCCTGCTAGTCTCAGTCTCAAAAAGAAGTAGATCTGTGATGGGCATATAAAGCACCTACCCACAGATCTGTCCTTTAGGGGATCCTGAAGTAAAACTGGGTGAAGTCTGTAGAATTCCTACTGCCCAGAAGATAACACTCACCTCTGTCTGGACTGGATCCCAGAGATTCACACTTGAGCAGAGCCTTCACTGGCTGCAATTGGATATTTCGTGGCCTCTGAATGGGTGTCAACACTGCCATCTTGCAACAGAGCAGTTCTTGCCCCTGGCCACCACCTGGGACCTAAAAGTCATTCATTGATTTATTCAGACACTTCTATCACATACTCTATGTGCTAGTACTTTCTATTTCCCAGTACTTTCTATTTCCTTTCTATTTCCTTTCTATTCATTATTTCTAAGAGCTTTATGAATGTTAACTTAATGCAGATAGCAACAACCTTAGCTAGGTACTTTTATTATCTGCATTCTTGTAATGGTGAAACTGAGGCACAGTGTTAAAGCAACTTGCCCAAGGTCACCCAGCTTAGGCAGAATGACTCCAGAGTCCACCTTCTTTAGCATTACTCTGTGCTCCCTCATTATTTATATTTGTGATTTTGTGAAAACTCTTTGGGAACAGGTGCTAAGTTCTCAGAGAACACTAACATGTTTTCTTATCCTAAAAAAGAGGATAATAATTTTTAGCTTATAGGGCTTTGCAAACCAGAAATAAGGTCCCAGTGTGTGAAATCACCTAACACAGGGCCTAGTGATGGTATGTCCTCATTAAATGCAGGTTTCCATGCAGACATTTGTAATTAATGGGTTTTCAAGCCACTGTCACAATCATTAGCTCATGTACATCTTAGAATTTCCCACAACAGCTATGAAAAATGAAAAGCCTGAAGCTGAAACTTGAAGTGATTCTTCTCTTATTACAAGGCTAAGAGGCACTAATGCCAACTCAAGAATCATGGTCTCTGGGTCACCAATTAGAAGCCTTTGGTTTGGTTATGTACATGCTGAAAGGAACACACAAGGATACAAGATAATATAAAGGGACCTAGGTCTTATACAATATTCAGGAAGATGGAAATAAATATGAACCCAGGGGTTTCTAACTTGTGGTCCACAGATTCCCTCCTAAGTATTCCATGAATATGAATAGGAAAAATTATTTTTACTAGACTCTAAGCAAAATTCATTATTTCCTTCAATCATGAGTGGAAGCAGCAAACCAAGGTGTTACAGACAGTACAAAAGACTCTGTCACCAATTGACACTGCAGGTGTTTTCACATCACATTATAACCAGGTAAATGTTACCAAAGATATTTACCACCACTTTGAAATTGTACTAGAGTTATTAGGCTTGTCCCTAGATCTCACTATTTAGTGCATTAATTTTTAAAAGCGCATATATAACTTTACCATACATTTACTACTTTGCTAACTGTATTTCAATATAATTGAGTTGCTTTTAATCCTTTATATTTTACTTCAGGTATTTAATAAATACTATTATGTGAAGGAGTTCAGAGACTTCACCTTACTGTCACAGAGGTTTGTAGTACAAAAAGAGATGGAGAATTTCTGGATCTTAAAGAAAAGCCCCTCACTCTGATCTTGAGATTTCAGGAAGAAGCCGACCACAGCTTGCAGACACTAAGCCTGTTCTACCTGCGGCATCGGCCCATCCGGCTGCCTCTCCAGATACTCCAAGAGCGCCACCACCTCCTCCCCGCTCTCCGGATGCCGCTCCCGCACCCAGCTCTGCAGGTCCGTCGGCAGGATGGTCAGGAACTGCTCCAGCACCAACAGCTCCAGCATCTGCTCCTTGCTGTGCGTCTCAGGCCGCAGCCACAGTCGGCAGAGCTCCCGAAGTCGGCTCAGCGCCTCGCGGGGCCCCTCAGCCTCCGGGTAGCGGAAGCCTCGGAAGCGCTGCCGGGAGTGCTCGGGGCTCGGACCCGGGCTGCCTGGGGCGTGCGCCTCTGCAGCCAAGACCGAGGCGTCCTCTTTCTCCACCTTCACGGTCAGGATCCCTGTCCGGTCCTCTGAAGACTGGGCGTCCAAAGCTGTGCCTTCCTTTGATTCCCTAGCCATCGTGGACCAAGGCAGTACTTGAGCCTCACTCTACCTGGGAGCTATATGTCTTCGGAAAATTCTTGAAAGGTGGGAAATCACTATAGGACCGTAAAACTGCAGCGGTCCCCTTCTGCGAGTCCAGGGGCGAGGACACCCCTGGGGAGCAGCTTTGCAGGTTGCCCCCTGCAGTCCGCGGCTCTGCAGCGTCCTCCTCTGCACCCCACCCTGAATCCCACAATAAGTATCCTCAAAGATGTCTCGGTGCAATGAACAGCCTCCAGATGCTGGAGAAAAATTGAGACTGTGGGGCACAGGAAGCCCAAGAGGGAATCAATACCACTTCCTGGGCCCTCTAGGAAGAGCCTCTCGGTGGTTGTCCCCGAGTTAACCCGTTAGCAACCATGCCCTTACCTCCAAAAGAAGCAGTTAGGTGAAGGAGAAAGAAAGGATGACAGGCTCTGAATCATAAGAAATAAAACTAGATCTTTCGATCTTGTAAGGATGCTGTTGTGGCCTATACCATGCTCTGATGTAAGCTTGACTAAAGAGCTGGCATAAAACTGTCACTAAAGTTCAGTAAAAAGCAGGGTTTTCTCAGAGCTCCAGGCAGGAGGACACTCCCTTTCCCTCAGAAACATCAAAGCAGAACACATCACCAAGCACTTGCTCGAAGAAGCAGTGGCTGCCCCTGGCTGTTGCCCCACTCCAGTGACCATTCTTTTTTCTCCCCTTCAAGGCTAAACTATTAAACTTGAAAAGGAAGCCCTCCTATCTCTGATTCTAGTCCTCGATTTCCATTCATCCATAACACACTGTAGGTGGCAAACTGCCAGCAAAGCCATTGAGATTGCTCCTGCAAAAGTAACTATAGTTTCCACTCCCCTCCTCACCCCTGCACATAACAGTTTCCCTTTCTATTTTCCATGGCTTCTTCTCAGGCAACCAGGCTTTCAGGCTTCCCACTTCCAGAAACTCTCTAGTCCTGTCATCCCTTTCTTTGCTCTTGTTTCTTCCTAGCCCTCATTTACCATCTACCATAATAGTTAGATCTGCAGATTTTCAAGCCAAGTTACCTGAGTAATCCTGGCTTTACCACGTACGAACTGGGTGGCCTTGGTATATTTCAACTTTCTGTGCCTGACTTTCCCAATCTATAAATGGGGATAGTAACAGTAGATAGTGATGGAAGAAAATTTCACCTATTGAGGTATGGGGAAGTTAGTCTGACTTACAAGATGTACATCTGCTTTAGCCATTAAAAAAAAATGCATTCACCTTATTGTTCACAATATCTGCTTTGAAGATAGAGATAAATGCCCCCCACCTCCTATGAAGCCAATGTTATTTGTTCTGACAAGATATGAAACTGTGGTTTAGGCACAGTTGGAACTGGGTGGGGGCGGGGGGATGCATTGTGGATATGGTTTCAGACACATTCCTGCACTACTGAGAACTTGAATTTTCTGAACTGTATCAAACTCAAGGATACTACCAGCCATTCTCAAAACAATATCTGCTAATAGCTGCCAGCTGTAACCTTATGGGGTCAAGGTCTCTCCTTGCAACTATGTAACCATGAGCCAGATTCCTCGTGTCAGAAAAGCAGTTACAAACATGAAAAAGAGAAAGGCCAAAATGATCCTGTGGTGTTGGATTGGAATCTAAGGTATTAACATGAACTCAAGTCCCAAAATCTATAGTTACTTATAGAAATATATATAAATGTACACAAGTCAGTGTATAAGTGTATATAGACAGTATTTGATAAATGACACTGCAATGTTTTGAGGTAAATGGAAACAATAAAACAAATTCTAATTGTTTAAAGACATAAAAGTCAAATAGCAAAACCTTCACATTTTTAGAAAAAAATAGAAGCATTTCTTTATGTGCTTGAGTATAAAATACACAGACTGCACAAAATGTGAAGGAAAAATGTAGTACATTTGACATCATTAAAATTTAAAACCACATCAAAAGATACCAGAAACAAGTGGAAACTACAAACAGAAGACTGATGCACGATATCTGCGAGCCATATGACCAACAAGGATCAATACCCAGATTATACAAAGAGCATCAACAAATAAACAAGAAAAAAGCCAACACTCAAACAGAATAATTGACAAGAACTATGCACAGGCAATTTACAGATAAGGAGTCTGGAGTGACCAACAAACAAGCAAAGATCTTTAACTTCATTAATTACTAGGAGAAGACAAATTTTAATACATTTCATACCAATACCTCAGCAAAATTTTGCAGTTTCAGTAATATTTGCTAGTAAGAACGTGAAAAGTTTTGAACTCTCATTTACAGCTGATGGATGTGTAAGCTGGTGTGCTCATCTTAAAAGGCAATGTCAATATATACTGTAAAGTTGAGAATGATATACACATGGACTTAGCAGCTTTAAATTATTTAACTTGTAGGAGTCTTGAACATGAACAATTGTATTAATTGAGTCACTTTTCTGAGCCAGACACTGTTTTAGGTATTCAGGATACAACACTGACAAAAAAGGACAAAGATTTCTGACCTCGTGAAGTTTATATTCCAGTGGGGACTGACATAAACAATAAGAATAAATATATAAATTTTAATAGGACATTATGAGAATGATGGTTTTTTAATAAAGGAACAAAAGAATAAGGACAAAAAAGACCTTGATCTTTTTTTTTAATAGTCTATTCTACAGGATTGTTTATGTAGTTGGTAATCTTGAAAGATGAGATAACATATCCCAATGGTCAATAAGCAAGCTTACTTACTGCTTATTATAAAAGCTGAGGATTTTGTCAATTCAGGTTTCCCGGATGCAACGTAGGCATGTTGTGTGTATAGCACCCACCTGAGCCCATCATGTCACCTCCTTGGGACTTGGGGGCAAGGGAAACTGATGCAAATATGATGATCTCATGCTGCTTGCCATCTATGAATAACAAGTGTTAGGCTTGCAATTTATAAGAAATGGGCCAGTTAAAGAAGTAATGATCAGGGCCTTATAACCTGGATCCATGCAACAAGGCACGTAGGAGCACTGAAGGCCCAAGGAAGACTGTCATGCATAAGAAGGTTTTTGAGAATTGGAGAAGAACAACAATTACGACTTTGAAACAGTATGGCTATGGGTGGGGGAGGACGTGGACATCCACACACTGGAGAAACACAATGAAATTCTGAGGGCAAAATGTGAAAGGCATTGGGCCTCCATGGAATCATATAAAATTCTTTGTTTCTGACCCAGGAAACTCATATTTTATGCCAGATTCCATGAAAGAATCACAGGCTAAGTTAATTAGTTTGTTGAAAGTGAAAGTCGCTCAGTCATGTCTGACTCTTTGCGATCATGACCTCATGGACTATACAGTCCATAGCATTCTCCAGGCCAGAATACTGGAGTGGGTAGCCTTTCCCTTCTCCAGGAGATCTTCTCAACCCAGGGATTGAATCCAGGTCTCCCACATGGCAGGCAGATTCTTCACCAGCTGAGCCACCAGGGAAGCCCAAGAATACTGAAACGGGTAGCCTATCCCTTCTCCAGTAGATCTTGCCAACCCAGGAATTGAACCAGGATCTCCTGCATTGCAGGCAGATTCTTTACCAGCTGAGCTACCAGGGAAGCCCTAATTGGCTTGTTAGTAGAATAAAATGAAATCCCAGACCCCCAAAATCTGAGAAAATATGTCCACCAGTCCTTGTTGATGTCCTTTTGGTCTTGTTTAATCTTGGGTCAAAGACCCTATTATGCATACACATAAATCTCAAGATTTGGAGCATTACTTATGAATTTTCCTTAGGCATATATTCTCTTTTCATATTATGGTGATAAAGCTTTGCATGCATAACTGTTTTTTAATAATTCTAATTTCCTCAAGGTATATACATACATATATTGGCATAGAAGACCAGCACTCACTCTAGACACATTTTAACTCTCACACTGCTTTCACCTCTTGAGGAACAGTCACCTTGCTGCCAAACAAAATTAAAGAAAAGATATTATGGCTAATTTGTAGATTCTTTAAAAATGGTTTATGAACACCTCTCCATGGTCAATTTTAAAGACCCCCTAAAAACTAAAAGCCTCACTTCTCTGCTGAAACCTAGAGAAATTCAGGGAGCTCAAGTTCCCCCATCTACTTAGTAGAAAAATTAGGATAGAAGCTTTGTACCCAGAGTTTCAGTTATCCAGTAAGATTTTTACCCACCTATATGGTCAGAGGAGCCTGGTGGGCTACTGTCCATGGGGTTGCAAAGAGTTGGACACGATTGAGCGACTAACACACACACACACTGTTTCTCATGAACAGTACCCCTCACCGATATCAATCAGCTGTTGTGCAGGTAACAATGGTGACTCTCCTGGCTTGGGTAGCCCACAGTCCCATAAATAAGACTGGAATTTCAGTCATACTTAAGGAAACAGATTCAGGAAAGTAAATGATAGAATCTGAGGAAGTTGGAAAGTGGCAAATGACACCAAGCACTTGGATATGTACTGCCACTGTGAAAGGCTACAGTATGAGCTGTAGCCAGTCTCTGATGCAATCTCAAAGAGAAGTCCAGTATATTCCTTCTCTCTCCATTTCTCTACTTTTCTCCCAAAGGGATAGAGGCAAACCTGGAAACACCCCCTTAGATAACTGAATTCTATGAGTCAAAGAAAGGTTTCTAGGGGTGAACAGAATGTAGAAGACATCTAGATTTTTCTGAATTGAGGGTTGAATTCTGAGTTACCTTCTTGCTGTGTGAGCCTCAGAGAATCTTCTGGTTATAGCCTTCAACTAGCTCATCTGATATTAATACCTTTGTATTCAACAGTTAGTTCTGTACCTGAAAATTACTCCCAAAGCACTGGCTTCTGCTGCACTGGGTATCATCTTGTCAGGATAGGCAGAGTGACCAGCAACTGGTCTAAGGGTGAGGACGTCATCCAGAATGTGACGAGGAGATGGTGATTGTGCTGGAGGATCTGGAGAGAAAACCTGGTAAACCAGGAAAGCAGATGAAAACGTTGATGTGGGACTCTGTGTGTGTGTGTGTGTGTGTGTGTGTGTGTGTGTGTGTGTGTGTGTACGTGTGAAAAAAATCAAAGTGGGAGTCAGGGCTCTCTCTGAAAAGGCTCCACCACACCTGTTTCTTGTCATTCCACCACACATCAAGCAGTAGTTCTTAACTTTGTTTAGTTTTTGGACCCTTTTGAAAATATGGACACTATAGCTCCTCAGTGTATTAAAATTAACCACTATCATAGTAATATCCTTTTGAATCTAAACACTCTTAATTTTTACTCATAGGTCCCAGCTGATCCTCTCTGGCAGGAAGTAGGCAAGAAAGAGTTGTATGTCTCCAAACAGATTAGGAATCCCTGAAATTTCACCTCAGGTCCCAGAAACCACACTCTCTTCAAGAGTCTAGTGAGGGGACAGGCTGCCTCTTGGAGCTCACCTCTTCTAGAAAGTCTCAGCTGACTTTAGTCGGAGATGAGCCACTCTGCAGTAGTGAGACAGCTTCAGGTAGTCAAATGGACAGTTATGGATTTTTTTTAAAGATGCTTTTTCTGGTTATATACATTTGTTTAAAAATGGATTGAATGCTAAATTCATACCTACTCCTTAGTTTACAAGGACAGAGCAACTAGAATCACATGATAAAGTATCTCCTGAATTGATTTTCTTTAAACAGTTGTAATTTTAAAAAAATCTTGACTCTGTTGTTGATTTTTGACAGATCACTGACAGCTTTCACCTTCTATTTGTCCCTTCCTTTCTCCCCCACATCTGAGTAAGTTTATAAGAAATGTGCTTCCTCACCTGGCACCTCAAACTATGCAAGTCCTTACTTTATCTGTGCATAAGAAGTATTTCCTGGGCCCATCCCCTAACCACAATAAAAACCAGGGCCACTAGCTCTTACCCTCCTTTTGCACTGGTGGTGGTGGTTTAGTCCTAAGTCTTGTCTGCCTCTTGTGATACCATGAACTGTTATTTCCTTCTCCAGGAAGCTCCTTATTTGAGCTTACCTGGCTGTCTGCAATGCAGGAGACCTGGGCTTGATCCCTGGGTTGAGAAGATCCCCTGGAGAAAGAAATGGCAACCCACTCCAGTATTCTTGCCTAGAGAATTTCATGGACAGGGAAGCCTGGTGGCTACATCCTTGGGGTCACAAAGAGTCGGACACAACTGAGTAACTAACACTTTAATATACCTGATAGAGAGCAAAATTTCAAATTCTGTCTTGGAAGTTCCAGTCTCAGCTCTCTTAACCTGTGACATCCTTTGCACCATTCAAGTCAATTCTGGACCAGCTTGGGTGCTGCCCTACTCTCCCCGAAAAGTTCCTTGATGAGAATAAAACATTTTTCATTCATTCTTCAGAGCATCATCCCTAGTAACTGGAAGGGGGATTCATACCACCTCTATACAATAAGCACACTCACAGCTCAAAGAGAGGTAACACAAAGTGAAAGGGTCATGTAGTCCTCCATCTACCCCCGTTACCATGTTGACAGTCTGATGCATATATCCCCTACATGATCAAATCTTGACATATCCATAAGCATTCTGGACCATTCTGGATATGTTCCTAGGCCAATCTTCCTTCCTTCTACTGACAGATGTCCACTGTCTGAACTTTTCTTCCCTTATCCCACATACGTGTTCTGTGTCTGGCCATAATTTCTTCTTTTGGCCCCTGGCATCACAGATTTCATCTTTCTCATGCCCTCCTCAAATTATTCCCTCTTCATATACTTTTCAGATACACACCAACTTCATATTCTTGCATTTCATTTGGAAGATTTTCTCCCTCCTAACAGGTCCCTTCTTTTCATTGGATTATTATTTCAGATGGAAAACTCAGCAGTTCCAAAGAAAATATAGGGTTATACAGGACGGTATGTAGAACACTGCAAGCATTCACCAGGATCCTAAGTGTGAAAAAAAAAATGGACACAAGATCAGATTAGAACATCAGCAGACAACTCCAGACCTAAGCAACACAACAGAAAGGAAAGATTCAGGAGATTTAAGATGGTGGTTTTTAAAGCATCTTATGGATGATGATCCAATGCTCTGATGTCTCATGTTAATACTTAGGATACTGATGACTTTTTGTAATGCTGAAGATGGGATGGGAGAGCACTAAGGGAATTTCAGGTGACTGAGCTTAAATGAGGAAATCTAAGAATACAAATATGAAGCATGACACTGTAAACAGTGGGATTTGGAGTCAAAAGTCAAGGGTTTAATTGAAAAGACCTGATGTAAGATGTTAACATTAGGGGAAGATGGGTGAAGGGTACATGAGAACTCTATCTTTACAACTTTTGTGGGGGGAGGGCAGTGACATGCTGCACAGCTTGTGGGATATTAGTTCCGTGACCATGGACTGAATGGGGGCCATGGCAGTGAAAGCCCCGGGTCCTAACCACTGGACTGCCAGGAAACTCCCTCTTTGCAACTTTTTTTATAAGTCTAAAATTATTCCATAAGTTAAAAGTTTACTAAAATTAAAGACCAAAGGTTAAGCCTTGGCTCTAAGGTTTGGATCTTCTGAATCTTCCTCATCTGTAAAACAGGATAATAATATTCATTTCCCTGTGTGGTTGTTGGGAGAAGCAACTGTGGTGAAGTAAATGGAAGCACTCTGAGAACAGCAAAGTGCCCAGCCAACGCTGGTCAGTGATCCAAGGGAGGATCACGCAGGTGTCAGAGGGAAGCAGTAGGCAGAAATAGTGTTTACTATGTGGGTACTGGTCACAGAGAACACCAAAGACCCCTCTATTGTAAAACATCAGCAGCACTCTATGTGATCTTTAGGAATTAAACACAGATACAGGTCGTCCTAGCAGGTTGGCTGTGGCACTGCCATTTATTAATACATTTTTAGAAAAGGTTAACAGTCATCTCAAAGAGAATAAATAAGAGGGAAGGGGCTAGTAAGAAACAGGAAAGGGCAAAGGAACCAAAGAGAAAGCAGCACCTTCAAAACCCCAAACCTTCCTTTTATGGATGTCCCCAGATAAAAACACCAACATCCGCTGGATCATCAAAAAAGCAAGAGTTCCAAAAAAAACATCTACTTCTGCTTTACTGACTATGCCAAAGCCTTTGAGTGTGTGGATCACAACAAACTGGAAAATTCTTTGAGATGGGAATACCAGACCACTTGATCTGCCTCCTGAGAAATCTGTATGCAGATCAAGAAGCAACAGTTAGAACTGGACATGGAACAACAGACTGGTTCCAAATTAGGAAAGGAGTAGGTCAAGGCTGTATATTGTCACCCTGCTTATTTCACTTATATGCAGAGTACATTATGCAAAATGCTGGGCTGGAAGAAGCACAAGTTGAAATNAGTAAACTCCGGGAGTTGGTGATGTACAGGGAGGCCTGGCGTGCTGCAGTCCATGGGGTTGCAAAGAGTCAGACACGACTGAGCAACTGAATTGAACTGAGACCAAAACACATTTTGTAGAGACAGGAAGAAAGGTGTTTTCTAGTCTTTACGTACCCCACGTGACTTGGTGAGTGATCCGGAAAACTTGCACACAGCTTGGATTAGACCAGCTCAGCCACCAGGTGGATCTTCTGATGGCGGATGAGGTTGCAGTGGCGGTTAAAGCTTTTCCCACACTGGTTGCAATGGTGAGGGCGCTCCCCCGTGTGGCTTCTCTGATGCTCGATGAGGAATGAGCGCCGACTGTAGCTCTTGTTACACTGGCTGCACCGATATGGCTTTTCTCCCTTGTGGATTCTCTGATGCTGGATGAGACCGGCACTCTGGCTGAAGGCCTTTCCACACTCCTTACAGTGGTACCGTTTCTGAATATTGTGGATTCCTCTGTGATTAAAAAGACCCGAACTCCGACTGAAGGTTTTCCCACACTCATTACACTCATAGGGTCTTTCTCCAGTGTGAACTCTTTGATGTCGAACCAGACCCGAGCTCTGAGCAAAGCTCTTTCCACATTCCTCACATCTGTGTGGTCCGCTTCCTACAGGGTTTCCCCAGTGCCTCTCTACCCCACCCTTATGTTCACTGACTTCCCCATGTCGGGGCCCCTGCTGTGATTCCTCCCAGGTCTGTCCATAAGACACCTTCCCACATGGTTCCACTCTCTTAAGACAATGTTTCCTTAGCACCAACTCTCTGTCCTCAGCCTGGGCCATTCCACCTGAAACAAAAAAAAGACCAGATAAATGTCACTTGTTCCCTGAGCCTAGTGATGAATGGGTTGCTATGTGAACAGAAATGCAAGGTGCTGCTGCCGCTTGTTCTTTTTAATCTTTGTATTTATTTGGCTGCAGGGGTCTTAGTTGTTGCACATGAGATCTTTGATCTTCATTGTGGCATGCAGAATCTTTTTTTTTTTTGGGTTTTGGCTTTTGACTTTTTGGTTGTTGCTTTTGGGTTTTGTTTCCTTGCCCGGAGTTCAACCCCGGTTCCTTGCCTTGGGGGCCCGGATTTTTGGCCCTTGGCCCCCCAGGAAGTCCCAAGTGAGGTACTTCTATCCTGATGTCGCAGAGTAGGAAGGAGGTTACAAACTGAGGGGCCAGTGTGGACACCTTCTTCTAGGTAACGAGGGAAGTTTGCCCTCTTTGGCAAAATGCAGCGAGGTACCCCTCACATGGATGGGGCCTGAAGAAAATTTTTTTACATTCTTCACAAGAAGAGAATGGTCAGGATCAGAGTGGCTTCTCTGGAGTCTTCCCTGAGAATTCCCTCCACACTGTGATGCAGGGAGCCTCAAAGTGACCCTTTCTAAAGAAAGTTATTTTGTGTAGACCTCCATTCATTTGGTCATTTATGGAAAAAGTGCTGAGCTTCTCCTATTCTAGGTGCTGTAGGAAGTACTTTATGTCTTTCTAATCTGTAATCATCCTGGGTGCACCGCCAGGACAAAGCCTCAGCTCTAGTGCGTCTCTCTTCCTGGAAACTCTGACCTCAGAGCTCATTCTCTCACTTCCTTGAAGTTTTTGCTCAATTCTCACCTTCTCAATTCTTCCACTTAAAACTATACTCTGTGCGCCCCATCCATAGCAGTCAAATTCCCTGTATGCTCTTCTATTTGTGCTTTATTCTGTAACACCATCTTCTAACAAATTATATCATCTTATTTGCAAGCTTATTATTTGTCTCTGCCTTGCTACATACAATCTTACCTTCATGGGAACAAGATCTTTCTGGTTTATTCCCTGAGAATCATGGCTGGTGCACAGTGGTGGCTCAATAAATACTTGTTGAATATTTAGAGAAAGGATTAAAATCAATGTTACTACTATGGCCTGAACTGACAGACCCAGGGGCTGGTGCTGAGGCAAATGCTGTTCCATAGGACTGGTTCACGTTGGACAATAGTCAACCAACCTAATTAGACCGCCTCTATTTAGATGAGTTGAAGGTGAGGACGGAGAAGGGCTGCTGTGGAATCCTTAGGATGTCTTGGGTTCCCCAGGTGTGATCACCACTTTGCAACTCAGAAAAACCCAAAACATTGGACTCTTTCTCCGACATGTAACTGCACTGTCCCTCACATTTCTGGATAGGTACCTCTAAGGACTCCTCTGGGATGAGACCACTGTTCTCCACTTCCTTTTAGCTGGGAGGTGACAACAGGTTTGCAAAACAGAAATGTGTCTGCAGAGAAGAAATGGGTCACAAGTGAGGCCAGTACTGTCCTTTTGCTCAAACTTTACATTTACATCTGAAATGTACAAGGGGACTGGGTAGAATATAAAAGCCAAGACATTTCCCACTTTTTAATAATTATCATTTATACAGTGTTCCATGAGTTACGAAGCACTTTCATGTATATTATCAAACTAACCACAAAACCTGTTCATGTTAGTATCCCACTTCTTAAAAGAACTAAAGATATACAAAGGAGTCTGTCTATAGTTAGACAGACTATATTTAGAAAGAAATCTGAAACACACTGCAATTTGACAAGAGTAGTTACTCCTGGGGAGTTGGACTTGGAGGAGAACTTTTTTACTGTGTAAACTTGTGTGTTTTGGGGATTCTTTACTATCTGTATGCATTTTAAAAGAAACTCAAATTCAGTGATATAAAGTAACTTTAAATGTTGCTTGGCTAAAAAACTGAAGAGCTGGAACTTGGATTTGGTCCTTGTAATCTCAAGTACTTCCCACATTGCTTTCACAAAATGGGCTTTTCCTGAACGTACAACACACGTGTGCACTGACAGTGCTGGAGGGAGTGCTCTCTTCTCTGTAGAAGCCCTCTGGATACTCTCCTGGAGCCACTGTAGATGCTTAACACATATTAGTTGAAATGAATGAATGACCAGATGGATGGATGGATAGATGGATGAAGGACCTACTCAGATGTGCTGTGGAAGAAGGATTCTCAGCATCGTTCTAGATGCAGGCTTGGAAAGTAGAAGAAAGTTAAAAACGGCTGAAAAATGAGAAGTCCAAATTCATGGGGAGAGGAAGAAGAAAGTAACAAAGGAAATGACTGGAAAGATGCCCATTAAGGAGGAGGATGAAACCGAAGGAATTTTAGTAAGATGAGGTCATGGGAGTCAGAGGAAGGTCTGCAGTGGGCACTCATCAAATATGGTTTTGATTTAAATTAAGAGATGTGTTCCAAAATCATAACTGTGTGATTTCTAGGGTAAATGAAATAAATAGAAGCTGGAAACAGAGCGACAAGAGAAGTTGTAGCTTTGATACACATGGGGTAATGTGAAAGTGAAAACAGGAGACCTCTGCTGTGGATAGATTACCAGAAGGGTAACAAAAAGGCAGTAAGAGGCTGTGATGTTATATGTGAGGAATTAGACTGAATTTGGAGCCAATTGTGCAGGGAGAGTTAGAATGGGAAGGCAACTGACTCAGCCTCAAGTACCCAGGTCTATACCCACTCGTGCCCAGTGCTGACACCACTAAGATTACACACAAAAAAATGGCAAGGTCTATTCCATTGGATTCTCTCATCCGGTCTGCCACCTACTAAGTATACCTCATATCTTTTGACTGCAAATGTAAACCCAAATCAACAAGGGTGGCCCTGGTAATTTCTGATAACAGTTAATACATTAAGCATAATGTGTGCCACATGCTTTTCACAAATTGTATTCAATGTTCACAGCGACCTTTTGAGGTACATATTTGTTATTGACTGAACTGTGTCATGCCTATCCCAAATTCATCTGTTGAAGCCTTAACTGTATTTGAAGATAGGGTCTTCAGAGAGATAATTAAGGTAATTAAAGGTGGGGTCCTAATCCAATAGGACTGATGTCCTTATAATGATAAGAAGAGATACCCGAGGGCTCTCTTGCTCTCTTTCTCCTCCTCTCTTCACACGCACGGGTAGAGAGAAATGCCCATGTGAGGACATAGCAAGAAGGCAGCTCTCTACAGTTCAGGAATAGAGATCTCACTAGAGATCAACTCTGATGGCATCCTGACCTTGAATTTCTAGCCTTCAAAACTATGAGAAAATAAACTTCTGTTGCTTAAGCCAGCCAGTCTGTGATATTCTGTTATGGCAGCCTGAGCAGACATTTTGCAGATGAAGAAACCTTGATGAACTGGTTAAGTAACCTACCCAAGTAAAAGCAGCTTCCAGAAGCTCTGAGCATTGCTGGTAGAGCATTTCTTACCCCCTGGTTCCCCAGTTCTGTTTTTTTTGTCCATCTGTGTTTGACCAGGTGGGATATGTTCAACACCAGATAAATCCTGTCCCTCACCTGTCTCTCGGATAGGGTGGGGCTCCTGAGCAGGGTCATGTGTGAGTTGGGGCTCCTTAGGCTGGGACTGAAAGGCCAGTGACATCTGTGCTTCCAGAGACACTGTCTCTTTAGAAAGGACTTCTTGTTCCTGTCTGCAGGCTACCATCTAGAAACAAAGAAACAAGATTTTTTTTCAAGATATAAGATTTGACCTCTGAAGAAATTAACTGTCTAAAGAAACACTTCTCAGAAAGATACAGAAAGCAAGGTCTTATTTAATCACCAAAGTCAAGGGGATACAAAGCAGAGGACACAGAGCTCCTTGGTGACTGACACATACTCTTTCCCCGGTGAATCTCCCTTCCTACCTCGTGTTGCGGTTCATCGAGCTCTCTCTCCAGATCCTCCAGCAAAATCACTGCTTCTTCCCCACTCTCTGGACAGTGCTCCCGCATCCAGCCCTGCAGCTCCTGGGGCAGGATGGACAGGAACTGCTCCAGCACTAGCTGGTCCAGGATCTGCTCCTTTGTGCTCACATGTGGCCTCAACCACTGGTAGCAATGTTCCCGGAGTCGAGTGAGAGCCTCTCTTGGTCCAGGAGTCTCCTGGTAGCAAAGCTGTCGAAAGTGCCTTCGGGAGATCTCTCTTGCCAGTGGATTACTGCGTTTCAGTCTAGATTTCTGCATTTGGAGATGACTTTCTGCCTCCATTTTTTCTGTCAGAAGTTCTTCCCAAACCTTGGCAGCTTGCATATCCGGGCATAAAATCTCCTTGGAGTCTATATTCATCCTGACCTTGAATAGCTTAAAAGGCTCCCTCTAGCTGGAGCTGTGAGTTAGAAACACCTTTGGAAGTTCCCTCCTTTTAAGCAGTAAAAGTCATTGTTTAGGTAGAAAAATGGCAACAGTTAATGATAGAAACTTAGAATCAATTGTTATAGACCTAAACCTCTTCACTGAAAGTAGTGACTTGCTGACCAAAGAATGAAATAATGGAATAGATAAGGTCATAATGTACAAAAAGCAGGCTTTCAATTTACCCAGACCTCAGTTTTATTCTGATTCTTTTACCAAGTGTGCAATCTTGCACCAATTTCTTATCTTCTTCCAATCTTAGTTTTTTATTGTGAAAAAGAAATAGCAATAATACCTTACAGAGTTCATGGAGGAATTAGGGACCAAACAGATCACTCGGAATGGTTAAAAAGTTCAGACTCATTGTAAAAAAGTTAAATTAGAGAGAAAAAAAAAAAAACAAAAACAAAAACGAAAACTTTGCTTCTTGTCTTGGACTAAATGAATGAACTTATTTTTACTGAAATCTTTACATGAGTTTTTAAAATTAATCTTCAAAACAACCACTAAGGACAGTTTCATTTTCACTAAATTTACAGAAAGGAAAGCTTAGGTAGACTGCAAATTCTCCGAGTTTTCCACACTGCTTTGTTGATTCTCAGAGTAACAGCCAACACTGCACAACACCCTACAACATGCTTTCAGATACAAGACCACATTTTATCCTCACAATTACCCTCTGAGGTTTGATTACAACAACTATTTCACTAGATAAGAAATGGGGGCCAAGGGAAGTTAAGGAGGTTGCTTGCAGTTAAATTATTTAACAGGACAGTCCTAGGAATCTACAGAAGCCCTAGGGAGAAGTCTGCAGGAATCAGGCCTGATTCCCAGGAGGGCTGTCTCCAAAATGTCAGGAAGTGCAGCCCAGCAGCTGAATTTCAGCGTTACCGGCCCTGGGGCAGAAATCTAGGGAATAGGAATCCAGGGTTGGGGGGTGGGGGGCCGGATAGGGAGCCCTGATCATGTATCTTTAATTCCTAGGCTCCCCAGGGATTTATATGCACTCCAAGGTTTGGAAATCAGTGAACCATGGGAAAGGGGATTGGAAAACGTCACATTCTGCACTGGAAAACCAGTTCATTCAACGCCCCTTTATCTGCTTTTAGAACCAAAGAGTGAGAGTATTACACGCTGGCTCTCCATGAAGAAGGCTACAGAAATTCTACAAATTTGTCCTTAACTTTCTTGTACCCAAATATTTCCCCAGACTTCAGGCATTTCCTGTCCTGAGTCCTAATCCTGCTGCCGTTATTCACAGGGAAGACCCTTCGTCCCGGCAACCCTCTCCCGCGCAAGGTATTCCCAGCCCGGGAGACTGGTCGGTTCTAGGTCCCGGGGCACGACCACCGCCCGTTCCACTCCACCCTCCCCGAGCCGAGGTTCACTTTTCACACCCCTTTCTCAGCCCCACCCACTCCACCCTGGTTCTCGGGCCGTCTCTGCAGACCTGGAAAAGGCGAGGGGGTGGGGTGTCCCGCCCCAGCACTGGGAGGAGCGCGCCGGGAACTGCGGCCCGGCGGGGAAGAAGCCAGCCCACCGCGGGGCCCACTGCGCACAGGCACTTCCGGTCGGTCTAGGATTCCGAGTCTCGTTTCCTACCTCCTGCGCGTGCCTCACCTGGAAGCAGCCCCCAATTTCCTGAGCGTCCATGTGGATATCAACGGTGAATCACATAATCAGAATGTGTCCATATGTGTGTGGACCCCAGTTAGGTTTTTAAACTGAAAACAGAGAGGAAGCACAGACCATAATTATTGAACATGTTTAAAAAAAAAAAAATTAAAAAAAGCAATACACGAACTACAGTTTTTAAAACACCTAAGACAATGCCAAAATTAATAAAGGGTGGTAATCCCGCCTGTCCCTCTTTAGCCTCACTTCCTTGAAGTAAACAGTCAACTGCCGTTAGCTTGGAATTTTCATATATAGTTCTGATTTCTGACACATATTAGGAGATAAATGGATAGATAGGCATTAAGCTATTTTACAATTAGCTTCCCCCACCCCCATCACTTACTTTAACGTTTTCATGTCATTTATCTCAGACATCTTTATGGGTCATGTTGGTCTAGCTCATTTAGTGGCTGTGTAATAGTACATCAAGCACCTGCCTCCCAGTTTATTTGTCCAGGCCCCTACGTATTGACAGAGTTCTTCTTTCCTTCCTCCACCCCTTCCCCAACAGTTGTGTCGATTTCTAGTAGCGTTGGATTGCCAAAAAGTATTGGGTTCCAAACAAATTTTTTGGCCAACCCAGTAAATACAAAATCAATTAAAAAATCAGTTAAATTAGGTTTACTGGTACAAAAGAGTGTCATTATAAGTAGTCATTCATCAATTTTATTATGCCAACCAGAACAGAGGCATTTCATCAATTAAACTATGTTTTGTTTTGTTTTAACAGGATCTCATTATTTTATCACAGCAGTAAGAAAGCATCTTGCATGCTAATGGAGGTTTCATGATGGGTTTTAACTCCAAACTGCAGCTGTATAAATTTCTTTAGTTGTTTTCCTCAATGTTGCCACCTGAAGGCATTAAATAAATTCAGGCTTCATCCCTTACTTTAACTTCTTCCAAATGTCCAATAACTGTGTAATCATTAAGAGCACCAGCATGAAGAAAATTTGCCCCAAATTCTGATCACTTTCTCCAATATACCTCATGTGCAAAGCCCTCAGCACAACTTTCCTAAAAACTATATAGTGAGAATAAATGCTCACCTTCTCTTGGGCTTTAAATATATTATTCTCTTCCATTTTTGATGCCCATCTGTAACAAGTAAACACAGTTACCATATGCTTAAATATCTCATTGACAGTTGATTAGGCTCTCTAACTGGTTTGTGTGATTTTTAAGCAGGTAAACTATAGGACTCAGGCCAATTCGAATTAGGGTCAAGTGAACAGCACGCTGGACTTCCTTAGAGTTAAATAGCTAGGAGAAAGTCTGGCTCCCTCTTTTCTGTCTGGAGGAAGATTCCCCTGTAGCAGTACCTTGATGAGTGTCCTAGGACAGAAGGGATTATTTTTAACTTAGAATTGGGAATCTCTACTGAAAATATTTAAAATGCCACTCAGATTAGGGACAAGGAGAAACACTGATTACTTGGCTATTGAAAACATTGAGGGCCACCTGAACCTGGAAACAGGCATATTGAGATACTGACTTTACTGTGTGTTTTATCATAAGTTCAAAAAGAAGAAGAAGGAGAAGGAAGAGAAAATATTTGGAGGATTGGTAGCAAAGAAAGTAAGGAACTAGCTGGCAGGTGAATAGACTCAAGTGTAAAAATATTTGTGTCCCATATGAATCTTCACTAACCCACCATGTGAGAGGTTTCAGTAAGAAGTGGGGAAGCTGATCTCCCCATGTATGTCAGCAACTGCTTATTCAGCTACTTCAGGATTTGGTCAAGGAACTTTTGAACATGGTAACCTTGACTACCATGATGGAAGATGTGCGTAGACTAAAAAAAAAGGCTTTCTTTCACTAAAGCTAACCCAGACATTACCATTGTTGAGCTGCAACCACAGTATGGTGCAGTATCCCAGTAGGAACAGCCAGTCGCCTAGGGTCAAATTGATTACATTGGACTCTCTATGAATCTGCCAGCCAATGCAAGAGGCACTGGAGGGGCGGGTTCAATCCCTGGGTGGGAAAGATCTCCTGGAGGAAGAAATGGCAACCCACTTCAGTATTCTTTCTGGGAAAATCCCAGGGACAGAGGAGCCTGGTGGGCTGCAGTCCACGGGGCCTCAAAAAGTCGGACATGACTGAGTGACTGAGCACACCCTCTATGACAGAGAAAACAAAATTTTACTTCAAAGCTTTCTGTGCCATGCTTCTGTCAGTACTGACTTGATGAAAGCCCTACTCATGCCAGCCCCAAATTAGTTGGGTATTAACATGAAATGATTTCCCCTCCAATCTCTTTGTTTTTTTTCAATCTCTATTTTTAATTGGGTATTTGTGAATCCTTTGTTGTCCTTTAGTGATAGTTTGACAGATCCCATAGCTTTCTGGCTAATTTTCTCTATTAAAGGTCTCATCCAAATTTGTTTCTAATTTAGAATTGCATTATCTATTGAATAAGTTATAGAGCCATGGTTTCAAAATACAAAAGTACAAAAGAGACTACATTGAAACATTTCCCTTTGATTTTTTCTCTTCTGTTGAGCTTGACAATGGTATCATTGTTCCACAGGAAAATGTTCTTATGAGAACTGAAGAACAACGGTGGTATGTCATGATGTCTACAATTTACTATAAAATACTTTAGCAGAGAGAGAGGGTGTGAGAGAGAGCACAAATATGACAAAATGAACACTTATAAATGTAAGTGAGTATATGGTGTTCATTATATAATCACAGGTAGACCTCTGGGAGTAACTATGTTTCAAAATTCAGATTTTTTAAGACTATTAAAAAAATTCCAGTTCAGTTCACCTTGAGATTTGTCTCAGATGAGTTTTACTGCCAAATTTATGAGGGATAAAAGTCAGAATTGTATGGATTTTAGAACTGTGGACGGAGAAGGCAATGGCAACCCACTCCAGTGTTCTTGCCTGGAAAATCCCAGGGATGGCAGAGCCTGGTAGGCTGCTGTCTATGGGGTTGCACAGAGTCAGACATGACTGAAGCGACTTAACAGCAGCAGCAGTAGAACTGTGGATAAGAGATGCTGGATATGTTCTAGTTAAGAAATTTTTAATAAAAATTTTCATCTTACTCCTACCTCTAGTCACTTAATTTCACTCCCTAGAAACAGCCAAAGCTCTTGATTTCTTTTGTAGATTTTCAAAGATATTTTATACACGTGGAAGCAATTATTTATTTATAATTTAGCTCCATTATTTTATACAGATAGTAGGATATTATGCACACAGCTCCTCTGTTTGCTTGTTTAATTTTGGAGTTTTTCCCATAGGCATAGATCTCTTTGTTTTTGACAGTTGTATTATATTCTATCATATAGATTTATTTAGCCAGTCCTATATTGATGAGCAATTAGATTATTTCCAAATATTTTCTGTTTATAAATAATATTGTACTAAATATTTTATTTATTTATTTTTTTGACACTTGGTAACAATATTTTTTAACATCATTTTATCTACACAGTACTTTACTGTCTAACAGAATACTGAAAATATAGTCCAACATCCCAGTTTTAAGCGCAACAATCAGAGCCGCCATTGTATTTAGGAAGTGAGAGTGAAAGTGAAAAGTCGCTCTGTGTCCGACTCTTTGCGACCCCATGGACTGTAGCCCACCAGGCTCCTCCATCCATGGAATTTTCTAGGCAAGAGTACTGGAGTGGGTTGCCATTTCTTTCTTCATAAATAGTTTTATATATACCTCATCTTACACATATATGAGTATATCTGTAGGATAAATTCCTAAAAGTAGAATTTCTGAATCAAAGAATATTCATTTATTATAGACTACTAAATTGCCTTCAAAAGTAGTTATGAAAATTTCCAGCTCTCTAACACTATCTGAAAGTGGTATCATGCCCAATCTTCATCAAACCTTTTGATTTTTGCCAATATACTAGTCCCTTATGTTTTCTGTGATGCCAAGAAAGGCCTCCATTGTGCCAAGACTATAAAAGAAAATTCTCATGTGGTTTTTTCTATTACCTTTACAGCTTTATATTTTTCCTATTTAAATTCGTGAGCCACCTAGAAATTACTCAGTTGTAAAATATGAGATGTGGATTGCACACTTTTTTTTTTTTTCCTCAGATGTCTGTCTACCCAGACATCAGTTTTCATTCCAACCCAAAAGAAGGACAATGGCAAAGAATGTTCAAACTACTGCACAATTGCACTCATTTCACATGCTAGCAAAGTAATGCTCAAAATTCTCCAAGCCAGGCTTCAACAATACATGAACCGTGAACTTCCTGATATTCAAGCTGGATTTAGAAAAGGCAGAGGAATCAGAGATCAAATTGCCAACATCTGTTGGATCATCGGAAAAGCAAGAGAATTCCAGAAAAATATCTACTTCTGCTTTATTGATTACGCCAAAGCCTTTGACTGTGTAGATCAAAACAAACTATGGCAAATTCTTAAAGAGATGGGAATATCAGACCACCTCACCTGTTTCCTGAGAAATCTGTATGGAGGTCAAGAAGCAACAGTTGGAACTGGACATGGAACGACAGACTGGTTCCAAACTGGGAAAGGAATACATCAAGACTGTATATTGTCACCCCGCTCATTTAACATTGATGCAGAGTATGTCATGTGAAATGCCAGGCTGGATGAACCACAAGCTGGAATCAAGATTGCTGGGAGAAATATCAATAACCTCAGATATGCAGATGATACCA